TACTACAGATGTCCTATCTTTAACATTTCTGTAGAGCGGAGCATTTCACACCAACCCACTCAAACCCACACAGAAATTTTAAAAAATCAGTGGAATCCCCCCATAATGTCAAGCATAACAGAATACGGGGCTGACATGGCAAGTTAAATTGTATAGTCTGTAATGTTTTGAACTCAAACAGCAGGACACTATCTGATCCGCTGTCCTTCCAGTAGCACTAATAAGTCAACATTTCAGTCATGCTGGTCTGTATCTGAGTCTTACACAGAGTTATATCCATACCTAAAGTGTTCTATCATGTGTGCTAATCATTCGCATATTTGAAACAGTTGCATTTTCAACTGAATGTTGAATATAATTACTTTGTTTACATTGCTATTCTGTAAAATCAGAAGATGCAAGCCACTCCCCAGGTGGTCCCTGTCTAATTTCTGTGCTACAAAATTGCCTTCTGTTCCAATTTATTTCCTCTAACTGCATGTTTGTTTGTGCATCATCCTGTACATGCCAGTCTCCATTACTTAGGATTGCATCTTGTGAGATTCAAGCCATTGGACCTTTCTTGCAATTACAGCTAACAGTCATACACTGTCAGGAAAAACATAAGCAAGGCTACTTAGAAATGAGGAGAATTCCAACCAATTTTTCAAAATTCCTCCATTTTTTGTCACTGGGATGTAAACAAAGTCATTCAGAGTGGTTTGATGTGAAGAGGCTTGTTGTAGATAAACTTGCAAACTCAGATTTTCTTTACAGTGGTGGTGATGGGAACTAGGGGTCACAATGTTTATACCACAAATATAGCCATTTTATGTACTATCCAAAATGACCAGTGAAACTGCTTCATTATTTGCCTGTACTATTTGCCTTACAATGGCCTGCATATACCACTCTACCATGAATAGACTAGGAAAAAAAACACATTTTGGGCTAAACCTTTACTCCAAAACCACTGTAAAACAATGTCTCAGTCATCATGCAGTGTATTTGTAACCAACTTGTGTAATAATTGTGTGTGATGTAACTTTTAGAGGCATTAAACTAATCAGACAATCAGTAGTCTGGTTCCTATCATCACCACTGGCTACAATTCTGGCTCTAAGTTTCTCTAGAACAGTATGAATGACATCAAACCATTTTGAATGACTTTGTTTACATCATACAGCTAAACAAGTGCACACATATGATTTCAGCACATGTTTTTACAGTACATAGATATTGTTTTTCTCCTACAGCAAGGCCTTCAGGTAATCCATAATAGAGCAACAAACTATAGAGGTTACAACAGGCTGTTCATGAGGGCTGATGAAACCAGTCTTACAAACAGAATAAGGTCCAGGTCTAAAGACAATCTTCAGCAGTAATCCATCCTGCTGTTATCTGATGGTCACCATAGCTTTTCAACTAAGAGTGCTCATTGATCCGGCTTTGCAGTACTTGGGTTTAGTCATTTACTCCTAACGGGCTCTCTCAAGCTCCATGTGATGAATACTGTACAGTGATCACACTGTGTTCTTTTAGAGATAACACTTATCTCAGCTAAATGAACTGCACAATGCTTTTACTTAAAGGGGAACTCCACCAATTTTTTCAAAATTTGTACCTAATTAAATGGTTAATATGTAAAGTCATTGAGAGCGCTGACGTGAAATGCTCCATTCTAGAGAAACTTGCTGAGTCCGAGTTGTTCACAGTGGTGGTGATAGGAACCAGACATCCGAAGGGTTTAATGCCTCTAAACGTTTCGTCACACAAAGTTATTCTATAATATGATTATGAATACGCTGTCTGATGCCTGAGACATTGATTTACGACGTTTTGTTATAAAGTTTTGGCCTAAAATGTTTTGTTAATCCATTTATTTTAATCCACTAATGGCAAAGGGGTACATGCAGGGCATTGTAAGGCAAAATAGTCCACAAAGAAAATGTATTTTTTCAATTTCCAACTGTTTTACCATCATCAATATTACATAAAAACTTGAAGAAGACGTGTAGGTTCACTAATGGTTTTGGATAGTAAATAATATGGCTATATTTGTGTTGTAGACATCGTGACCCCTGGTTCCTATCAACACCACTGTTTAAAAATCTGTAACTTTCTATATAATATAACTATTTCACATCAGACCACTCTGTTTACATCACAACAATGGAGAAAAACTTTGAAAAATCAGTGGAATTCGTTTAACGCTGCAGTCTGCTGATGGTTTTGTCACTCGATTGAGGCTGTTTATACTTTTGCTTTTTGTTTTGGCCTGATGAAGTATCCCCCAAAATCTGATTCCCTCCTCTGAGGGATTAAACAGCAGCATTTATATTCATACAGGGTTTCAAACAGTGGAACTAATTACAAAACACTGTGTGGTTTTGTTGCAACATTTCTTGCTTTTTCTTCCCTTCAAAATTTTGCATAATTCAGTGGTTGAGATGTAAATACAGTCATTCAGAGTGGTTTGATGTGAAATTACTTATTTGGATTTGTTTACAGCAGTGGTGGTTTGATGAGAAATTGTTTGTTGAAAAGAAACTTTCAGATTGACATTTTCTCCACAGTGGTGCTCATAGGAACCAGGTGTCATAATGTCTACAACACAAATGTAGCCATTTTGTTTACCATCCAAAACCACCAGTGAGCCTACGCATGTCTTCTGAGTTTTTATATGTAATGCTGATAATGCTAAAATAAAATAAAAAAAAGTTTTCTTTGGGGACTATTTACAACACCCTGCTGCATCCCTCTTGGATTTTAAAATATGCATATTAGGCCAAAATCTTGATGCAGAACTATCATAAACCAATGTCTTGGGCATCAGGCAGCATATTCATAACTGCTTCATGTGACAACTTCTTGTGAGGGAGATTTTTAGAGGCATTTAACCTTTCAGACACCTGGTTCCTATTACCAGTGCTGTGAAAAGTTTCTCTAGAATAGAGCATTTCACATCATGACTTTGTTCACATCTTTAGTTATGCAGAAATTTTTTGGAACGAACTCACTGTCCCCTTAAAGGCAAAGCAGAACAGATGAGATGTACTCACAGTGTGAATGTGTGAGTTGGGGTGGTCCAAATCTGATTGCTCATAGTGAATCAGCTCTCCCCCATAGTTAGGTGGAAGCCAATGGCAGATGTGACTGTGTTGAACCGCTAGCGAGCAATGAGGGGCAAAAGGGGAAGGGCAGAACTCCTGCTGTGACAACAATTCACACCTCTCCACACAGACGGACAGTAAAACTGCTGCTTTCTTGATCAAAATATCATAAATATAGCAACAAATCACAAAACATAGCTTTTAAACACAGTAAAATGCTTTTAGAAATGTTGACTTGCTTGTTGACCTATGAAGATGAAAATCCAGTTTGTTTACAGTTTTATAAATCGTATATATTTACATCACTGTTCTCCATCAACGTTACTGAAGAGGAGGTGAAAATTGCATTTCATGGCTACTGACTAAAAATAAAGGTTCCTAAATGATTCTTTGATTGGATGTATGGTTCTAGGAAAAAACTGGTTTAGCCTGTTTTTAAGGTCCCTCAGTTCAGCCCTCAATTTTAATATTTTTAATTAAATTTGAATGAAAAGAAAAAAACATTTTGACTCAAAATATGCACTTGACTGTATTAATAAAATATCCAACAAATCATTTGCTATGGAATGGCCACTAGGAGGCCTGCAGAAAGGGGTTAAAAAGTTCTTTAGGGAGCTAAGAGTGGCTCCTCCATTGCATTACTCCGAAGAACTCTTTTCGCCATCTTTACTATTAAGACTGTATGTGGACACTGTGCTAACTTTTCCACATGAAAGCAGAATCAAGATAATTGCAGAAAGCTTTTCCACTTGGTCTCCTCATGTTCTCCGCTCAAAGAGCAGAACACTTAAAGAGGCCTTTCAGGTGGCTCAACAGTGAGATGCGTTTTGTGTTTTTCTTGCGTCGGCACACCTAACTCAGTCCGTCTGCTGTTTACCAATCCTTTTACACTCAACTCAACTCCGTAAAAGTGTAAATAAAAAAAATTGTTCTTGGCTTGGCTGTAGGGTTCCTGGAGCAATTTTTCCGCTGGTATAAAACCTCAACATTATGTAGAAGTTCTTTAAACTTCAAAATGTTCTTCATCTCATTAATAAAATGGTCCTTAAAAGGGGAATTCCAAAATTTCAACATTATTAATTGGTTTGATGTAGATGTAAACAAAGTCATTCAGAGTGGTTTGGTGTGAAACGCTTCTTTTTAGAGAAACTTAAGCCAATTGTTCACAGTGGTGGTGATGGGAACCAGACATCTGGAATGATTAATGGCTCTAAAAGCTTCCTCACAGAAGGTGATTAGATGAAGTGTTTATGAATACGTCATCTGATGCCTGAGACATTGCTTTATGATAGTTTTGAGATAAAGCTTTGGAGCAGAGGTACGTCCAGGGCGTTGTTTGGCAAAATAGTCCCCAAAGAAAACTTACTTTTTTAGATTTAACACTACTTTACCATCATCAGAGTGACATATAAAAACTCAGAAGACATGTAGGTTCAGTGGTGGGTTTGGATAGTAAATAAAATGGCTATATTTGTGCTGTAGACATTGCGACTCCTGGTTCCTATCACCACCACAGTAAAGAAATCTGAGTGATGTTTCTATACAATGAACCATTTCACAACAAACCACTCTGAATGACTGTTTACATCTCAACCACTAAATAATGCATTTTTTTTAAATTGTGGAATTCTCATTTAAACAAACTCTCTTAAAAGGTTCTATTGGCAAACCAAAAGTAGTTCCAAAGGACTCTTTTTGGCCCCTTCAGACTGTTTGAGCAGAAAAGCATTAAACTGTGGTGCAGTGACTTGGACAGAAGATATTAATCAACAACAAGAAGCCCATTTTCAATTCTTCTGCCAGTCAACGTTTAGACAACACACAATACCATGATATATCCAACCAACAAGCTTCTCTTTAAACCAAAGATGATTCTACAGTTAAGAGAAAAGAAGTAAAGCACAATACCTTGTCAGGAAGCAGTGCCATTTTGGCTGCGGTGCAATCCTTGAACGTCACTTACAAACAGACATCCAGTTGGATGAGGATTGTGAATTATTCCAGATTTCTTGGTTTAGCTCGCACTGTGTTTCCTTCTAAGGTTAACCTGTTCAGTTCTGCTATAGGGCAAAGTCTGGAACACCAGATTATCTCATGTTATTGACGGGATTCCCATGCTATTGGTCGAAGGGCTGTGACTGACAGGTTACCTCATGCTTTTCAGTACCATGGGAGTTATCTGTCACTGGGCAATGATTGCTTTAACTATCTGACAGTAACCCAGACAGGAGCAATAAAGGCTGAGATCATTTTTCCTTGGAAGCTGGCATTTATTGGAACTTCAAAGCACAAATCAGAAAGTGTGAATTCATTCTGTTATATTAAACCAAGACTACTCAGGAATAATTTAAGCAGACTGTGAATTAAACTATGTGCTTGCTAATGTAGGAGAAAATCATTCTTGATTGTGATGCATTCATAACTATCTCTCAGTGAGAAACTGATTAGCAGGAGAACAGCAGTTACTCTTTAAGGCAGCGAGTCATTTATTGCACTCTGTGTTGAAATATTACTGCAGACAATCAACCATAACTGTTGATATCACCATGACTGACTTTTGTTGATATTCCAAATGGCAATGTCTATAAATCAGAGTACACTATTCAAAATGAAAGTGCCCAATGGGGCACATATTTCCATAGATGGTTCTTTAAAGCTGCACTATGTGAGCTACAGTTGTGTTAAAAAGAAGTGGCATTACTGAGTCAGGAGACAAAAACACATACTAAAAGGTGTCTGTGCTCTGCTGCAGGTCACCCTGTAAAGCCTGAAATAGTCATTTAAAAGTCAGAGGTGTTGGGTTAGATTTCATGGGAGTTTTTCAGATCACAACGTACGTCTTTACATGTTAACGTCACATGTATACGCTTAAAAAGAAGGTTAAGTTGGCAAAGCCAGCTAACAAAGCTTCAAAAGTCACAGCAGTTGCAGTTGATTTTGATAGCTTCATTAGTAATTCCAGGTAGATGCTATGGTGTTGCTAGGCTGTTGCAATGGTATCACACGTGGTTGCTAAGGTGTTGTTCAGCCATGGTTATATTATCCCAAGTGTTGCTAAGGTCTTGCTAGACACTTGCTATGGTATCAGGTGGTTGCTAAGGTGGAGCTCAGCCATAGTTATGGTATCCCAGGTGGTTGCTAAGGTGGTGCTAGGCCATGGTTATGGTATCCCTGGTGGTTGATAAGGTGTTGCTCGGCCATTGCTATGGTATCCCAGGGGGTTGCTAAGGTGTTCCTCAGCCATGGTTATATTATCCCAAGTGGTTGCTAAGGTCTTGCTAGACACTTGCTATGGTATCAGGTGGTTGCGAAGGTGGTGCTCAGCCATAGGTGTGGTATCCCTGGCGGTTGCTAAGGTTTTGCTAGGCCACTGCTATGGTATCCCAGGTGGTTGCCAAGGTGTAGCTACCATACTTGTATGATGGTGACATATGAGGAGCATCTAAAACATTTGGATACAGAGTGTACACTGACTGTGGTGGAAGAGTAGAGGTATATATTATATAAGTGGAATTACTCCTTCAGGATGTTGAGTAGTCCACCATTAATTCCTAGAGAAAACAACAACCACAGTGAAATCAATAAAAAAACACACACAACATATTTGGGTACATTTGATCCTGCAAAGTTTCATGGTTCTAGCTCGAAAGCTGTAGGAAGAGTATCACTGAAAATTTTTGACCATGGAATAATAAAAAGAAGAAGAACAAAACAAAGAAGAGTAAATTGTTTTTTTTCAAGCTAACTTAAAAACAGCATTAGTTATTATTATTATCGTTGTTGTTGTTGTTATTATTATTATTATTATTATTATCATACATTTATGCACACAGGTTACTATGTTAGTACATGACTTTTACTGCATGCTCTGTACATGTGTCTTGGGTGTGGCTTCACTAAGTTGGGGAGGAAAAAATATTTTCCTTGCCTATGAAGCATTCTTCCTTATCATTCATTTGTTATCCCAGTGTTATCACAAAACTGTCAGGCTGTCAGCATACATCCTCCTGAGTTAACATTCTCAGCAAAGAAGAAGACATTGTTATGTAATATAGAAACAACCCACTCATTTAAGTTTGTTTCTCAGTCTTGGAATTTCATTTTAGTGCAAGCTGTGCATTGTGCTTGATGACTTTCAGCCAGAAACAGTTCATACAACAACATAAATACCAAAACCCAGCGAAATTAGTCAGTCCTGCACTACAAAAAGAAGTTATTAAATGACATACCAATTAATTGTAATTTCTCAGCAAGGTTTCTGTGTCAGAATTTGATCACCACTTTTCAAATATGAGGCATTTAGGATGTTAATGTTATTATAGCTTCATTCTCAATGATTTACCGCTTTCTCGGTTACTATGGAACCATCTACAGTTCTGTTCATCATTATTCGTCATTCATTCATTGTTCACAATCTAATATTTCTTACTTATTTACAATTACATACTTAATATTGGGAACCCATGAGGTTGTACAGCACCAGTATCAAGTATTATGTAATTATTGTATTTGAGACTTTTGAACAGTAGTATATAGTAAAAAAAAGGATTATAGAAATAATTAAGTAATTTTTAAGCATGTTTAGCAGTCAATTGAGCACATCTTAAACTCATTTCCAATAAGCAGTTGTTGGCACGTTCCTGACACATACAAATTTCCCCAGAAGGCTTCTACTCAGTCAGTCAGATAACAATAAGTGTATTTGCTTCAGTTGAAGCCATTTACACAACCTGGAGCTGGAGTTCACCCAGAGAGGGCTTTGCTTTGAAAACACTGGCGTTCAAAAATCAATGATTTTTCTGTCTTAATCTCAAATACCATGGATTCCTCTCTCTTAACACAAGATTAAGTCTTCAGGCCCTGATCTCTGAGGTTTAGCAATCCTGATAAGTTTTTTTGAGGGGAGCTATAGATCTAGCTCTATGAAGATACAAATATAATGGCTTTAGAGTTTAGATTGGTTTTATCTTTACAGCGTTTTATCAGCACAGGCAGGACTGTCTCATGAGGGCAGTACGGGCAGTATTGCACAAACAGGGCAGCAATCTACTGCACTGGGCTATTAGTGCTAAAACAATAAACACAATAGTGTTAACAGTATTATTACAAATTCAGTTTTTCAGCCATGTCAGTTTTGTGATTGTGTTGTGTGTGTTATGTGTGTATTTTCTGTCTTTTGTGAAACAAGGATTAAAAGTTTAATAAATTTAGTTTGGATAAAGATACCAACTTCAAATTTGGTACATTTCTTCATTGAAATGTGCTCTATTTAGTGGTATAAATTATTTTGGACTAATCAGACATGAACAGTGTGAATGAAATGAAATGTAAGATTAATAGAAAATAAGTTGAAAATCTTTTTTTTTTATTATTAATGGTATATAAATTGGAAACAATTATTGATAACCTTGATAAACCTAGTACTTGTCAAAAGTATTCTTATAGCATGAGTAATAAACACAAAAGTCCCAAAAATCTGATGTGCTTCAGTGTGGAGATATCAATAACCAGTTTACACTAAACACTTTTTCTGGATATTCAGCATGCTAGAAATGCTAAATGGCAAACGTGCATTTCTATATCTTGTGTTTCAGTAGTTGCATCTCAGACCAAAGAATAATATCTGAAAATTTCACGCATTTTGCATCAATAGTGCAAAAGTTATGACCTATGAAAATGTGCACCTTTTCATTTTAAGGCAAAAATTTTACCCACTTTTAAAAACCTCTATATCTCAGAAACTGATGAAGAGATAAACCCAACATTTTGTACATTATCTACTTGGCACAGTGGACATTATTCCTGAAAGTATTCGGTGTGTTTGATGTGAAATGGTTCAGTGAAGAGAAACTTCAGATTTTCTTTACAGTGGTGGTGATGAGAACCAGAGGTTACAATGTCTACAACACAAATACAGCCATTTTATTTACTATCCACATTTTCTTTAGGTAGTATTTCCTTTAGAAGCATTAAATGCTTTCATCATTGCAGCCACCGAAAATAATATAATATTGCCAAAATGTGGAAAGATAAACGATCTCCTTTGCTATTCATTTAGTATGTAAATATAATAGAATCCATTTTTCTCACTTTTTCCATTTAAGTTCTTTTAAATGAAAACTCATATCTGTAGCCATAAGCAATATAAAGGTGCCTACTATCTGATATGGGTTTCTGACTCATGTTAAATTGAAGTAGATCACCATTTACCAGATTATTTTATGATGATCCACAATAACACATTGTTAATTCATAATCATATCTTATCTTAAGGCGCCTCATTTAGAGCTCTGAGATTTGCCTGAGGCTGAATCATGAGGGTAGTTTTTATGGAACTGAAAGGACAACATGTGAACAAAATGCTCCCTCTAAATACACTTCTGTTAATGGAGAGATACACAGGGACAGAATTTAGGCCGAGGATACTTTTCAGCATCTGAGCCTGTAATGAAGCATCTCTCACACTCTGGAACTTCACTGTTGTAATTAATGGGAAAAGAAAGTCAGAATCTGAGCCTAGATCATCACCTCTGCTCTGAATTCTTATAAATATGAGCCTTGAGCGAGTCTTCATAATTGGATTCATTCAGTAGTCTGTGGCAGGTCACATTTGTAGCTCAGTGCTTCCATCTGCTGGCTGTCATACGGAGAAGAGAATCGGCTTTTGGTTAACTTCGTTTAAGGGCCCATATCCAACACATTTCTTGTTTTTCCTGTGAGATCCACTTTTAATGTTTGTTTGATTTAATGTACCAAAAATAGCCCTGATTTATTTTTACGCGACCATGTTCAGAGGTCTCTTTATCCCTTTAAATTAAACAGCCTGTTTTTGTCACTGTTCCTTTAAGACTGGTATGTGTAAATGAGCTTTTTTTCTGATTGACTGCCCTGTATTGCATCTCATTCAAAAAGCAGGCCATGATTAAATATTCCTTGTAACTTCAGTGTGAATGGGAGAGGCTAAACTGTTTTAAGCTGACTAGGTGGATATAGGTAAACATGCTGGTTTTTGTGACATTGAATTCGAAATGGGCTGTTTTTGAAGCTTAGTTTCCATATACGGACTGTACAGACTGTATCTATTGGGGAATTGTACATTTTGAAACTTTAAATTTGTTAACATACTACACAACATTCAATTACAACAAAGTTTTTATTTTAAAACAAGTGAGAAAAATTCATTATCCATGATATGGGCCCTCTGACTTTTTCAGAGGATCTGCAACAGACTTGTTGACAGTGGTGCTGATAAGAACCACATGTCTTTATGAGTTTAATGCCTCTAAAAGTTCCCTCACATAATGATATTATACAAAATGGTTGCGAATACGCTGCCTGACGGCTGAGACATTGTCTAACGATAGTTTTATGATAAAGTTGGGCCTAAAATGTCTTGTCAATCCATTTATTTCAAGCTGTTCATGGCTGTGGAGTACATGTTGGTTGTTGTGAGGCTAATTGTCTCCACAGAAAATGTATTTTTTCAGGTATACCACTAATTTGCCATCATCAGCATTACATATAAAAACTCAGAAGACATGTAGGTTCAATGATGGGTTTTGATAGTAAATAAAATGGCTATATTTGTGTTGTAGACATGGCAACCCCTGATCCCTGATCACCAACACTGTAAAGGTCTGCAATTTTCTCTGCAACAAACCACTTTTCATCAAACTCTGAATGACAACGACACAGTTATGCAAACATGTTTTAAAATCGGTGGAATTCCACTTTAAGTCTGTTTTCAGAAGTAATAGTGGCTACCAAAGCAGGTGGTTAAATCTCCTACTGGTCACCGTGAATATTTCGTCGACTGTGCTTGCGAACAGTCTGCCTGCCTCTGCCTACATCTCCCAGAAGTCTCAGCTCAGCGCAGACTGACGTTCTGGTCGGGCACGTAAACAAGCAACGGGAAGCAGCACCCTGAAACCGTCCCGTCCTGAGCAGGTTGGTTTAAATAATACTCTTCATTGTTTCTATGGGAAGACGTTTTACCGGAAAGGTCCTTTCGTGTTTTTTATTAGACCACCGAAGCGTCCAGTCTGATTAGAGCTTCAACCTTGCTCAAAATATGTCGCTTATGCTAGCAGGGCTAAGTTAGCCAACTGTTAGCCAGCAGAGAAGAGATAAAACAATCTTTACAGAATTTAGGAAATAAAATGTCTGTTTGGGATCCTATTAATGACTGCAGAGCTTCGGTTTAGGTTATTGTAAGCGTAACTTAGAAGCTGGATAATTAGTTAACTTGCCTAACGCTACAGTCCAAGAACTGGTCATAAGCCATAACGTTAGCTACGTTAGGTGGGCTAAGATTAGCAGAGAAAACTGGCCAGCTAGCTAACTAACATTAGCTGCCTCTGGCTGTGTTTGACGTACCGTGTGTGAAATAAGGAACGAGGCAGTTGCTTTTACAGGTGTTAATATTATATTTGCTACACTTAATTAGTTCTTGAGTGGATTAACGTGGTTTAAATGTGTTCAGTCTGACTGAGTGAGTGAAAAGTTTTATTATAGTGAATGGGAACAGTTGACTAGCTAGTGGTGACATTGACGGGTACAGCACTGCTCAGGAGAGGAACTCGTGCCCAGTGGACAGTGGCTCGGACACCACGGTAAAGTTAGTTTTATTTTCGATATTTTTCTTTTCGGCGCTAATAACATTTGATCGCACTACGGTAGTCAGTAAAGATTTACATATTCATGACAGTCCAACCACAGAGAGTGATGCACACCTGTTCTTTTGCGGGTTGGGTGACATTTAACGTACCGCTATACCATAGAACTGAGACACGTTTTTCAGTCGGAAGGAAAATCATGCACTTCTAGACCACACCTACATCCGTGCACACGCCTCTGTTTTCCTCCGTTTCAGTGCATTTAAATACATATTTTAATTGTTCATGCTAACAAGACACCGCCAGACAATTAAACGTCAATAGCTCCATAAACACTGTGTTCATGCACATCTGATTAATTGTGTTATTTACTCTAAATTATGGTTAGAAACACACACCACTTTAATTTAGAAAAAGGACTTTGAATAAACCTGTAACTAAAATGTACTTGCCAATACTTGTCCTAACAGTACTGAGCATACCTTACCTGTAAAAACTGATATTACCTGTATACTGATATAGCTAGTTAGCTTGATGACGGAGGTTCAGTAATCGATTAGCAGTCTTGAAGGTTCAATAGATCCCTTAACCATCTAAAATATTAGTTTAAAAATGAGAGTGTAGAAAAGAAAACGTCTTATTTAAGTGGATCAAATTGCAAATCAAAAGTTTTTTAAATCCATCAAAAACTCACTGAATCAGATTTAAGTTATTTTTTCCATTTTCAATTTCGACATTTTAGATATTGAACATTTAAAATACTGCTTAGATTCAAAATGCAGCATTCACTGCAATTAATACAGCTGAAATGCTTTTGAAGGTTAAAATACAAATATTAATATAAAGTAATTATTGCAGTACATTCAAAACTCAAAAGTTGTGTATGATTGCTGAAACCTCACTGCACCATACACAATTGTTTTTAGTGTCGGGTGTAATACAGCTGAAATATTATTAAAATTCAAAATATATAAAAATGAATAAAACATAGTTACAGCAATATATCCAAAATCCAAAAGCTGTGCATCATTGCTGACACCTTGGTGCACCAAACACAGCTGTTTCTAATGTTGTAAATAATGCAGCTAAAATATTATTGAAATTCAAAATATATATAAATTAATAAAATGTAGTTACAGCAATATATCCAAAATTCAAAAGCTGTGCATCATTGCTGACACTGCACTGCACCATACACAGCTGTTTTTAATGTTGTAAATAATGCAGCTGAAATATTATTGAAATTCGAAATACATAAAAATTAATTAGTTACAGTAATGTATCAAAAATTTAAAGGCTGTGCGTCATTGCTGACACTATTGAAATTTTGAATTTCAATAATATTTCAGCAGTATTACACCCGACACTAAAAACAATTGTGTATGGTGCAGTGAGGTGTCAGCAATCATGCACAGCCTTTGGATTTTTGATATATTACTGTAATTACTTTTTATAATTTTTTCAGTATTTTGAATTTCAATAATATTTCAGCTAAATTATATACAACATTAAAAACAGCTGTATATGGTGCAGCAAGGTGTCAGCAATGATGCACAGCCTTTGGATTTTTGATATATTGCTGTAACTACGTTTTATTCATTTTTATGTATTTTGAATTTCAATAATATTTCAGATGAATTATATACAACCCTAAAAACAGCTGTGTATGGTGCAGTGCGGTGTCAGCAATGATGCACCATCTTTAAATTTTGGATATATTGATTTAACTTTTAGCAATTTTGAATTTCATTAGCATTTCAGCTGTATTACACCCAATACTACAAACAATTGTGTGTGGTGCAGGTAAGTTACAGCAATCATACACAACTTTTGAGTTTTGAATGTACTGCAATAATTACTTTATATTAATATTTGTATTTTAACCATCAAAAGCATTTCAGCTGCATTAATTGCAGTGAATGCTGCACTTTGAATCTAAGCAGTATTTTAGCTACATTATATCCTCAAGTAAAATTCAAAGTTTGTGTGTCATTACTGCACCAAACACTGCTGATTTAAATGTTCAATGTCTAAAATGTTATCGAAATTCAAAATGAAAAAAATGTACAAGATTTAAAACATCTGACTCACTTGGTGTTTGATGGATTTAAAAAACTTTTGATTTGCAATTTGATCCACTTAAATAAGACATTTTCTTTTCTACACTCTCATTTTTAAACTAATATTTTAGATGGTTAAGGATCTATTGAACCTTCAAGACTGCTAATGTCTGTCGAATACTGAACATCCGTCATCAAGCTAACTAGCTATATCAGTATACAGGTAATATCAGTTTTTACAGGTAAGGTATGCTCAGTACTGTTAGGACAAGTATTGGCAAGTACATTTTAGTTACAGGTTTATTCAAAGTCCTTTTTCTAAATTAAAGTGGTGTGTGTTTCTAACCATAATTTAGAGCAAATAACACAATTATTTAGATGTGCATGGACACAGTGTTTATGGAGCTATTGACGCTTAATTGTCTGGCGGTGTCTATTGTTAGCATGAACAATTAAAATATGTATTTAAATGCACTGAAACGCTTTGGAGGAAAACAGAGGCGTGTGCATGGATGTAGGTGTGGTCTAGAAGTGCATGATTTTCCATCCGACTGAAAAGCTTGTCTCAGTTCTATGGTATTAACACAAAATAGCGGTACGTTAAATGTCACCCAAACCGCAAAAGAACAGGTGTGCATCACTCTCTGTGGTCGTACTGTCATGAATGTGTAGGTCTTTACTGACTACCGTAGTGCGATCAAATGTTATTAGCGCCGAAAAGACGAATATCGAAAATAAAACTAACTTTACCGTGGTGGCTCGGACCTGACCAAAATGCCTTTGGAGTAGATGTTTTGCCATGTATTGTAGCTACCAGCCATATGTTTCAAATGTTTTTTTTACAAATAATTTAGTTTTTTGAAGAATATTTTTTGCTGTTCATCTTCATTTTGAATCAAGTTTAGAAAACACAAGAAGCTGTGGATGCTGTTTCTGCAACTACAGACACTTTTAGGTCGACAGTGTTTTTTTTTGTTTTTTTTTGTATATAGCTATGTGCGTATTTTTAGCATGAAGCACAACGTGTCATAATACATTTTCACCTACAAAATTGTTACAAAATGTGATGAGCTTATCTAATTAATAAAGCATATTTTGGATAAAACCAAAAATTGTATTCGTGTCCCATACCCATGATTTCAGTAACCAAATCAATGGAAAGTTACTGAATTATAAAATTATGTCTTTTCAGTTGAAACTACAACTGTTAATTCAAAGCAAATATAAATAAACACTGTTGCTGGTCAGTCATTATTGTATTTGCTTTTCTATAGCTGTCCAACATTTACATGTCTTTACTGCAACTGACCAAATCACCTGAAATAATGTTTTGTTTTTGGAAAGCCGAACAAACCTACTTTCAGTGGAAACGTTACCAAAGAGCACATTGACAAAAGCAAAGTTAATATCATCCAAGCCATTTTATAAGCCATAAGCATGGCTTATAAACTAACATAATGTGAACAAGGTTTTTAAAACAATTTCATATTCATGTTAAATTCAAATATATTAGACACTGTCAGTCAGAGCTGATGTAATGGGCCATGCTGTTTGTGATTTATACCCAAAAACAGTGAAAATGTCCTCACAGCTTAGAATGTTGTGGCAAAGACAAATTCATTTCTGACTAAAAATTTGAAAATTATACAAACTTTTATAAAGCTCATTATTTGCGTTATCGACTCTGGAACTCATTTTGTTGAGATCCATTATTTTATAAAGAATTGGCTAAAATGTAGTTGCAGAAATACCCAGTTTTAAGTGAATAAGCCCCTTAGGCTAATGCAATGTTGTTGTTCTATGAGCATGTTTCTGTAATGCTGACAGCCTGTTCTTACATATCTGATTTGTGTGTTCACACAAGTGACGGGATTATGATAATTTGCTAAAAGAAATCCTTAAATATAGATCCATAAATGTAAAAATGCATTATACACTTACTGAGCAATTTATTAGGAACACTTTACTAATACTGCATAGGGCCTCCCTTTGCTCTGAAAACAGCCTAAATTTTTCATGGCATGGATTCCACAAAATTTCCACAGATTTTTCAGGTGCACTTTCATGCTGCGAATCTCACATTCTACCACATTCCAAATGATCAGCAACAATACTCAAATAGGCTGTGGCACTCAAGCGATGATTGATTTGATATTAGGCTTAAAGTGTTTCAAGAAAACATTCCCCACACCATTACACCACCATGGATTTATGCTGTTGGCGCTAAATTCTGACTCTGCCATCTCTGTGCTTCAGCAGAAATCGAAATTCATATGCATTTCATCAAGGCTACGTTTTTCCAGTCTTCAGCTGTCCAGTTTTGGTGAGTCTGTGCCCAGTGCAGCATCAGCTTTCTGTTCTTAGCTGACAGACACAGAACCTGACATAGTCTTCTGCTGTTGTAACCCATCCACCTCAAGGTTTGCCATGTTGTCCATTCAGAGATGCTTTTCTGCTCACCACAATTGTGAGTGGTTATCTGAGTTACCGTATCCTTTCTGTCAGTTTGAACCTGTCTGGCCATTCTCTGTTGACCTCTCTCATCAAGAAGGTGTTTCCGTCCGCAGAACTGCCGCTCACTAGATGTTCCTTATTGCACCATTCTGAGTAAACAGTCTGGAGACTGTTGTGTGTGAAAATCCCAGAAGATCAGCAGTTATAGAAATACTTAATTCAGGCGCCAACAATCATGGCACTGTCAAAATCACTGAGATCACAATTTTTCCCCATTCAGATGGTTCATGTGAACATTACCTGAAGTTAGATAATTGCATGATTTGCCAGGTGTGCAGTTGTTCCCAGTAAAGTACTTTTAGTACTTTTATAGACACTTTCTCATCAAGTGTATTCATGGGGAGTGTGTCCTTCCCGCAGAAACAGCCTCTTCCGGGAAGGCTGGGTGAAAGGGTAATGTAATCAGATATCGTTGATGATGGATAAGTAACCTGATGGTGTCGTGTAAGGGGGGATAATTGCCGTTTTGGTAAAAGAACTGAGAGAGAATTAGACAGACAGGTTTGTTAAAAAACTGCCTGTGTTATTTCTCTCTACTACACTCTGTAATGCACAGATTCCCCTTAATTTACTTTACACGAATGGAATCAAGATGAATGCTGACGTGCTTTGGGATCTCAGCCTGCCGCAAAATGACTTGCCGCAGTAAAAAACGAGCTAAAATGACTGGAAGTTAGCATAGAGCAGCTAAGTTACTCTAACCTGAAGAGAAAGTTCCCCTGACCCTCGTCTGTGGCCGGTGTGCAGTGTTTTCCGTTGGTCCCGGTGGTTAGTTGAATTATGAAAAGCTGCTGTAACGACGGAAAACACCTTGTTTTTAATGTGGAAAGCACATGGACATGGCTTTGGAAATCACTTGCAGTCTGAAGTTTCTCTAGCAGGGAGTGCTATCAGCTAGCAAGTCACTGTGAATCTGCGGCAGAAGAAGCTCATGAACGCACGTGTTTGCAGTAACCTTTACTGTAATGACAGATGAAGTTGAATGAAAGATGAAGTTCTCAAAAGATGTTGGGTTACTGAGTATCATATTATTTCATATGTTGATTTTTATTAAAGTTTTTTATTAAAACAGTCAATATTTAAAAAGCATATAGACTAAAATAGATTAGAAAGTAGGTCAAAGCTGCTGCGGACCACGTGTTTAATGTTTTCTGTTTTTTTTTGGCGTGGGCGGATGGGCGGGCGGGGAGGGGGGCAATATTATCAATAATCACAATTTTTAACTAGAAAATATCGTGCTAATTAATTTTAGATATCGCCCAGGTCTACTTTACACTATGTTGGAACATTACTGTGAGGATTTGATTGAACTCCACTACAACACATCCCAAAGACACTGAATAGGTTAGCTTGACACTTGGCAGTGGGCTTGGTGACCTTCGGCTCGTGTGCAGCTGCTCCAGAGTGTTTCATTCTATGATCAGTGCTTTTCTCAGTCAATTGTATACATATCTTGAGATTATGCAAGACATGTATGCAGTTGACTGTGTCAGTAATAGGTGCACTTTTAAGAAGATGAATTCACTAATTAGAAGGAGTCCATAAACTTTTCGATGTTTTGGATATTGTTCATCAAAGCTTTTAGCTTCAAAGCCTGATTCAAACCAAGCATATTAGGCAAAGTATAGAACATCCAGAATTACTTTACCTGACACAGGAGGAACTTGGCCAATAGGTGGCATTCATGTGGAAGTTATTGCAGGTTGCACTTATATACATCAGAGCCTGGTTTTGTACTCTATCATAGAGCTAAGATCAGTACAGTTATATTTTAATGATGATGCTGTGCTGCTTTTTAACCTGACCTAGGTTGATATAAGCAAGAGTAGAATAGCAGAATATGGCTAATTACGTTTGTTACCAATATCATGTGACTCACAGCATCAGGGTTTCCAAAACACACCAGTCACCTGGTGTTCAGTGAGGCTTATCAGCAAACAGAGATCAGATTGGACTAGTAAAACCTTCAGTGGAGGCTCATTTACAGCAAATCAATCAACTGATTGCATGAAGTTGAGATTTTTTTACTAAATCAATGATGAAACTGATGATTCAATAATTAACTGGAATATTAGAATCAGTTATAATTTAATAATATTCAAAGAATGCACTAATTGTATGGCCGAAATAAATGATCTTAGGCTATTTTCAAATGTAGAAATCTCTTTAGAATGCTTGGTAAATTGTTTATTTTAGGGATGCATGATTATATCAAAATCATATTTATGTATTTATTGTAAAACGTCTGCATTTTATTAATTTTACTGCATTTGTAACTATACAGAAATAAATGTTAAATTCCTCTGTAGTGCTAATCCAAGTAGATGCCGTCCTAAGTTCTACATTTTATGAATATTTATATATCAACATCTGCAGTGACAGGTATGTACATGAAAAATACAGGATTGCAGCAACGGCCCAGAAGTGCCATATCCCTAGTTTTCGTTGTCTTTGTTCCTTTAATGTGTAAGTAGTTCCTCCAGTCACATTTGTGTATTTTGTGTAAAGTAAATATTAACAAAATAATCAGATTTAGTCATGGAAACAATTCAGTGCCTGATTGAACATGATGCATTGAATCATTTTCTAAACAACCATAATTTTTCTAATCGAATCACTGTGAGGTCATAGATGTTCACCCCTATTGCCGAACAGTCATATAATCATGCTGTCTTTTTAGGTGGTATGGCGAGGTGACGTGTCATCAGAGTGCAACCAATAGCAGGGCAGTGTGCTGTGTGGAGCCAGTAGGAACACAGGAGCGAGATGACGGAGTGCTTCCTGCCTCCCAGTAGCAGCCCTGCGGAGCAGCGGCGGGCGGAGCACCCTGGAGGCGTGCCTCGCACTCCCAGCTCAGAGGAGATCAGCCCCACTAAATTCCCGGGCCTATACCGCACGGGTGAACCCTCACCCCCCCACGACGGACACCACCATGAGCCCCCCGATGCAGCCTCAGACGACGACAAGGAGCACAGCAAGAAGAAGAACAAGTTCAAGAAGAAGGAGAAACGCAGTAAGCTTGACTACGTCTAGAGGCCTTTGCTTTTCTTCTTTGTCGATTAAGCCTTAGAAGCCACAGCAGTAATAAAAGCATGGTGTAATTAGACGCAAATTATTTCACACTCCAGCAGATAAATTACGTGAGAATTGTGGATTCTAAACTTTCAGTCAGTATGATGTTTGTGTTTATAAGTCGAAGAGGCGATGTTTTATTATGACTTGAATTTGATTAATATTGGTTAATATTGTGCATGAGGTCCTGTTTTGCAAGAAAATACATCAATTTTTGACACATCAAAACAATGTTATGTATGTAATTACATGTAACTACAAAATGACTTAATTATATTTGATTAGTATAACAAAAATAAAAATTATAAGTTTTTAAAGGGTTGAAGTTTAAAAGTAGCCAAGCAGTCAATTGTTGCTCCTGCAAAAGTCATTTGCACTAATTTTAGCAACAGATACAATATTTCAATACTACACTGAATCGAAAACTTTTGCCATTTAATACTGAACTTAAACATGCAAGTAGTCAGTCTTAGCGTCTGTGTGCCATTTCTGGTTTAAGCCACACCCACTTTGCATTTGTAATTGAACAGAATAGAAAAAAGTATCGTTCAGGGATTGGTATTAAAATTGAGGTGATTGATATCGAAAGTTTTAACGAGACTCAAGACGGACGGCCACTTTAAGTTTAAAGGAGTTGTTCGGTCAGTAATGCTATTGCTGCTGACAGTGTATGAAAGTGAATTAGCATAGTGCCAATTGGTGGTTACTAGTTTCACTTTTTTGTTAGTTATATTAGGATGTCTGGTTGAGCTACTCCAGTCTCACGGCCCAGCAGGTGGTATTGTAGAACCTTGGTTACAACATCAAATAGATATATCATAGTGGAACATTGCTGAAAACAAGGCCTATGTCTAATTAGGTAATCTGTTCTGCTTCTAACCAGCAGCTGACAAGCACTACTGTTAAATTTAACCCCTAGAATCTGTCAATACAGAACGCAGAATTGTAGAGTTTTTGTTATACTATTTAATTATGTAATTGCATCATTAATTGTATAGTCATGAAATGAATTATGTTTGCATTCTATTTTAAAAAGTGACATTGTTTTGAGCGCTTTGAGTCTGCACTGCTGACTTTTGCAGTGTCAAAAAAAAAATGTAAATTATGGAAGGCGTGACCATAGACAACAGTAGCATTTTATCAAATTCAAATCGTAATAAAATACTTCTAGTAGTATGCAAAAGTATGGGCGTCCGTGGTCAAATTACATGAGTTACACATCCTCTACAGGGATCACGCTTCTGCACATTTAAATGTACAGTTACTGTTTATTTGCTGAATTTAACATACTGGGGACATAAAATGTGGTCTGTGCAAAAGTTATGGCACATTTTATGTTTTTTTTTCCCCCCAATATATTAAACTTAGCAAATAAATGGAAATTGTGCACTAAAATTACCAGAAGATGCCATAATTTAGTTTTTTCCTTGTAGAGGATGTGTTCACTTATTTTCACTCAAAACATCATTTGACCAGGGTGTTCAAACTTTTGCATGTGACGGTACGAACACAAACGTGGTATTGATTGAAGGTTTAAAATCAACACTTCCGAAAGGATTTCTCCAGTTGATTCTGTGAGCTAAGAGTGAGAAATAATTAAAGGGGAATTCCACCAATTTTTCACAATTTTGGCATAATATAATAGTAAACAGTCATTCAGTGTTATTTGACGTGAAGTGGTTAATTGTAGAGAAACTTAGTGACTCCGATTTCTTTACAGTGGTGGTGATAGGAACCAGGGGTCACGATGTCTACAGCACAAATATAACCATTTTATTTATTATCCAAAACCACCAGTAAACCTACATGTGTCTTTTTTCTATAAGTTTTTCTGTATAATGCTCATGATAGTAAAATAGTGGTGAATCTGAAGAACGTTTTCTTTAGGGACTATTTTACCTTAGCATCCCACATATACCCCTTTAACAAGAATAAATTTGAAACAAAGAACATTTTAGCCCAATAACATATCAAAATGTTTGTTAAACAGCGTCTCAGACGTCAGGCTGCGTGGTCATAACCATTTCGTGTACTAGCTTTCTGTGAGGGAGCTGTTAGAGGCAACTCTTTAGACGTCTGGTTCCTATCACCACCACTGTGAACAGTTCTGACCAGTTCGATCAGTTTCTCCAGAATGGATCATTTGACATCAAACATCTTAATATTTAATATTAATATTTAATATTAAATTACATTTTTAACTTCTAAGGGATAACTTTTAAGGATTAATTGAATAAGGACATTGGTTTAATATTATTCACTGCATACTGGCCAACTGTGTCAGCTTTTACCCTGTATCCCTGCAGCTCCTGAGATAGAGAGTGAAACTATTTTCCACCCAGCAGCTATATTTAGCTGACCTATAGCGGGCAAGCAGGAAGTGATGGACAGTTTGAGGACACACCCTGTCCGTCCCTGTCCTCTGTAGGTGTGCCATAGTGGCAAAACAACATCTCTGCCTTAGCCCAGGGCTCTCCGGGGAAGAAGTGTTTATGACCACTGGCTGATGGGCTTTGGAGCTGCGTTACTGAGCCGCTGATTGCTGTTATGAGCTCAGTTAGTGAGAGCACACTCCGCAAAGTAGGTGTCAAGGCTCCAAAGATGGAGAGTTAAAAAGGGACCTGGTACAATAGCTGCACAGGGAATAGTACTAAATTGTAAGCTGACCTCTTTTGAGCAGTTTTGCTATCTCTCTCTATCTCTGCTTTCTCTCCTTTTTTTTCCAATCTTGCCTAACCTTGAGGTAGATTGGCTGGAGGAATGAGGGAGTGGGACGGGTTATTTCTCAGTTTTGCGGTCTTCTTGAATGCTTTCTTTCAGTGTCAGCTCTGAAGAGGAGGATGTGAGTTCTCTTCTTATGTGCCATTCCTCTTTTATCTTTTCTCTCTTTCTCCTTGCTTCTCTCCGTATCTCTCCCTCTATTTCTCTTTCTCTTCGATTAGCTGAGGGCTACGCTGCCTTCCAGGAGGACAGTTCGGCCGATGAGGCGGAGAGCCCGTCCAAGATGAAGCGCTCCAAAGGTATTCATGTCTTCAAGAAGCCCAGCTTCTCCAAGAAAAAAGAAAAGGACTTCAAAGTGAAGGAGAAAGTGCCCAAAGAGGAGAAAGCCAAGGACAAGAAGTCCAAGGACCTCACTGCGGCTGATGTGGTCAAACAGTGGAAGGAGAAAAAGAAGAAGAAGAAGCCCAGCACCACTGAACAGGAGCCTGTCGCTGTGGAGACACCGGCCACAATCAGGCCAATATTTGGGGCGCCGTTGGCCGAAGCGGTCAGGAGGACGGCTCTGTATGATGGGATCCAACTGCCAGCTATTTTCCGCGAGTGCTTGGACTACATTGAGAGCTATGGCATGAAATGTGAAGGAATCTACCGTGTTTCCGGTAGGATGCTGTATAGTCTCTTTTGCAATGTTTTTGTATGTGTATTTTTAAGTATAAATACAAATACTTTATTGTGTAATTTAACCTCTTAATCCCCATGGGTCAGTTTTGCTCAAATTAAGCCTAATGCTTGAAGAAATGGTGAAATGCCATTGATATTGCAAGTTAGTTTGAGATTAGGCTTAAACCATGTACACAAAATATTTATTCTGTGCTGTGAGCATCTTGATCTCTGATGCTCCAGATGAGTTTCTCTGGGTGTTTTGATAAACCACGGCATTCATTCACATGATGCAACAGACATAAATTAATTTGATCAAATTGACAGCTACACATCCTTTCAGACCCATAGTCTTGAGTTGTCCTCTCACAGTGGAAGGATGAACAGAAACACCTGTGGATTTTTTCAGATTTGAAGCGAGAGTGGAGCTTGATTTTCTCCTCTCTCTGTATCCCCAAAAGTGGATTATTTTATGTCTAATCTCCTCAGAAATGTCTCCTGAAACACAAATAACTCGTGTACAGCACTGTATCTGTAGCAGTGTAACTGCAATGTGGAATTTCATCTGTATTATGCAGCCCCACTTCAGTCCCTCAGTTTTATAATTACATAATTTGCGTATTGGTTTCGTAGTAGTTACTAAATAATAAGTCTTAGGTTTAAAAACTGAATATAAAGCCTAGGGTTCAATGAGTTACATATTAATACACATCTCAATAGTTTTGGCAACCCGATTCTTTCTTTAACTTTGCCTAATCCTGCTCCAGGAAATCAGTTGTTTAGAGTGTAGTTGTAACTCTAACATAACACACCTGCCTCTAATTTTCCTTAAGCAATGGCTCAGCCAAAAAATCAAATTTACACATTTTACAAGTTATAAATTACCCCCAGGTGTAGTTGTAGTTACCCCCAGATGTACTTTTACCAATTTTTTTTATAGATAACAGTGTGTTACACAGTGTCAGAAAGCACATCTCTGTTGGAGATTATTTAAAAAGTATATACATTTTGAGGCAAGTGTGTGATGATTTTGGCATCTTCCTCTGTTAGTTACATTAGCCTCATAGCTCCAGTGCAATACTATTGTAGCAAACTTCAGACACCCATCGTGTCTTGGCTGACCAAGGACATCTGAGATAAGGACACAACTGTGTAAATTAGATTTTTGGTCAAACCATCACTTTAAGACTGCTGTTAACCAGATCAGGTACTTTGAAGCTAAATGCTTCTGGGACATACATCTACACAAGCAGGGGTGCCCTGAACTCCTGTCCTCTCTTCTTTGTCTCTCTGCAGGAATGAAGTCTAAGGTGGATGAGCTGAAGGCAGCGTATGACCGTGAGGAGTGTCCATGCCTGGAGGAGTATGATCCACACACGGTGGCCAGTCTGCTGAAGCAATACCTGCGTGAACTTCCTGACAACCTGCTGGGCCGTGAGCTGGCCCCGCGTTTTGAGGAGGCGTGTGGGCGGCCCAGCGAAGCCGAGAAGCTGCAGGAGTTCCAGCGGCTGCTGACAGAGGTGCCGGCTGGCAGCAGGCTGCTTTTGGCCTGGCTCATCACCCACATGGACCATGTGATCGCCCGCGAGGCTGACACCAAGATGAACATCCAGAACATCTCCATTGTCCTCAATCCCACCGTGCAGGTAAGACACCTTCTCACACTGCACTTGCAGTGCCTTGCAAACGTAACTGTAACAATGATAGCATGCTTAATAATTAAGGCTACAGTTCCTTCATTATCATGAAATAAATTGCTTTAATTATGCTTTGTGAGCTAGTGCATAGTGCATAATTTGGCCTCTTTAATTGGAGTTAGTGCAGTACAACATGTGAAATGTTAAATCAAAATCACTTGACTTAAATCAAATGACTTGAGTGATAATACTTTGTTTTTTAAAGTGGCACCACTGGCTGTTTTTTGGCTTTTCCAACTTAACATGTCAGAAAAATTAAATATTGTTACCTACTGTGTATCATGATAATTTCCTGATGAATCGTGATATATTTTTCCATATTGTCCACACTTGACTACTGCTACTGCTATTAATAGTGATACTTTAAGAAAACTATATGGGGAGAGTTGGGGTGGTCTTTTTTTTATGTAGTGCTCATTGGTACCTCACTGGCATTCATACTTTAATAGCAGCAACATATTCTGGTGCAGTATTTCTGTACTAAGCATCGAAATCAATTATACTTTACATCTTAATTTTCTTATGCTGCTTGACAATGTAGAGAACAAGGACCATATTACAAAAATATCCTAGAAGAAAAACATCCTTCAGTTTGTAGCCATTACAAAAAAAATGTTCCCAAGTACAAAGACAACTTCTGTTTTAAACTTTGTATTCTACTAGGGTTACACCGATAACATAGTGGTATTGGCTACTGAATGATTGTAATACTTGATAAACTCTAATGCTCGAATGACCTAACAACTGCTCATCGAACTGGACTGGATAGTTTAGCATTCCCTAACTTGAGATAAGATGTTTTAAAATAAGATATAGTTCCTGAAGTCAGAAAGGATTTTTGTCTGTTATATGAATTTGTGAAAAATCTTATCTTGAACTAGTTGGATCTTTTTCACTAGTTCAGTGAAAAATCGAATTATTCAAAAATCTGATTATTCAATCGATCAGCCAGTACATGTTTGAAGTCCAAATTTTGCCTTCTTAGAACTGAAGCTACAAGGCTAACATTGCTAACACCAAAACTGAATAGTCACCCAAATAGCCCGAACAGTTTGTGTAAAAATACATGACCAAAACTGTTCTCAGTCTGCATCCAGGTCTTCATTAAGGTTGTGCCGACTTGTCGACGTAGTTTAGGACTACAGTATAACTTACTGCTGACCTAGAATCAGTATTTGTAGCAATGACCGTAATAAATACAGATAAGTCTGCACAGTATGAGCACAGTATGACTTACTCTGAACTATAAAAATAAACAAAACAAAACTACAGGTAGCCATTTCAGACAATACAAAAGCTGGTATTCACATAGCAGGAGTGATCTTGGATCAGATTTCTTTGTATTTACGATAGTCATTGTCATGAATGTACGGTTCTATACCAAACTGTGTCCTAAACCACATCAGCAAGTCTGCACAGTCGTAATAAAGACCTGGATGCAGTTTGGGCGAGCTAAATGAAGTTTTGGTGATGTAGTTTTAAAGAAGCGATTTGAGCTGTTTGGGTGGTTGTGGTTGTAGTGTTTATTAGCAATGTTAGCATCATAGCTCCAGATCTAAACTAAAGAAGCTAAATTTGGACACCAAACATGTCTTGGCTAGTCAACTACATATGTATGTAATTATGTAAATCAGTGAACATTTAAAGTTTTTCACTAAATCGTCATTTAACTTCATTAACTGTTCAGTAAATGAAGTTGTTTGTAAATAAAAAGGGTAAGTTTTATACCTGCCGCATTCAGTTTACTCTGTGATGTGAACCTTTTGTGTGGCTGTGGGCTTTTCATGCTCTGTTCTGTTGACCCTCTCCTTCCCTCCCATGTGCAGATTGGGAACCGGGTCCTCTATGTGTTCTTCACCCACGTTCGGGAGCTGTTTGGCGACGTGGTTCTGAAGCCAGTGGTGCGGCCCCTGCGCTGGTCCAACATGGCCACTATGCCGGCCTTGCCTGAGACCCAGGAGAGCATTAAAGAAGAGATACGGCGACAGGTACAGCTGTGCTATAACTACATGTTGCTTGCCCAGTCGTTCAGACAGTCCTAACCTAGTACAGCCACAGCTGGTAACTTTTGTGACACAAACATATTTCAATTTACATAGTCTTTATTCAGTGCACTAACAACCAAGACACTTGGTTCTCTCAATTACACTGTACACATCAAACCCAGTGGAGTATTTAGGGTGAAAACATTGGCCCTGCCTCACCAGGAAAGAGAAGTGTAGTTTATTTTTGAATCATCACATTTGCATGCTTATATAAGGAAGTTGTGGATCTTTGGTTGGAGCCAAAACCCGATCTCAGGGCAAGGTATGATAGTCAAACAAGGTTGAATGTTTGGTTCGTTTGATTCGTTGTTCAATGTATTATGCAAAAAAGTGTGTGGCAACTGTAGGACAGGAGCATAAACCTGCTGAAGTGTCTACTGAACTGATCAATGCCCATAACCCCCATTGCCCCACAACAGAGGCAGTGTTGGAAAATTTGAAGAGTGATACTGTGCAAAGTCAGAGACCACCCTTTCTTTTATTTAATTCCTAGTCAAAACAGCCATTATTAACCATAAGTAACCATATTTAGCAGAACATTACACAAAAACCTCCAACACTAATTATATCAAATCTATCAGTATTCAGTTTGACCGCTCTTTACCTTTATGCACGCTGCTGACACTTTAACTCTTCCATTCTTCCATCCATCTGAAAACCAGCCAGTTACAGCCATACAAAAGCTGCTCCCAAAGGAGTCACTGACATTATGTTACCATTCAAACACACTAGCATTCACTCAATGTACTACCCAAACACACCTTAGCTGCCCTTGGGTTTCTTTCTTTAAAATGACTAAATGAGAGTTCCTAGAAGATTAGATGTAAGATAATGCACCCTGCTTCACATTCAGTCTTTTATTCATAGTGAAGGATGCTGGTCTAGTTGCTGCTGTACTGAAGCAGTGTATGTCAGTGCACGTGTACATGTGTATGTTTGTCTGCTTCTGCAGGAATTCCTGCTGAACTGCCTCCACAGAGACTTGCAGGCCGGTATAAAGGACCTGTCTAAAGAGGAACGGTTGTGGGAGGTGCAGCGTATCCTCACCGCTCTCAAACGCAAACTCCGTGAGGCCAAGAGACAGGCAAGATTATTCACACACTTCCTCCACTTCACAGCACTGCTGCCTAATAATATTAATAATGTTTATTTATATTGTACCTTATATACATTACAAATGCTGCTTAAAGTGCTTCATGATACAAAGTAAAAACAACAGAGGAAGAAGAGAAAAAAACAATCCGAATTAAAATAACAAATAATAAACAGCAAAGGGGATATATTAATAATAATTACAATAAAAAGCACAAAATAAAAGTATAAATAAAAATGCAACTAACAAGAAAGTAAAAGTAATACTAATATTCCAGTAAAAACAAAAGAAACAAGAAAAAACTTTTAAACACTAAAATAAAGAAATACGTTTTTTACTGTTTTTAAAAACCATTGACAGAAGGAGCCTGATGGATGTTTATTGGTAATGTGTTCCAGATCTTAGGTGCATAAAATCAAAACACTGCCTCTTCACTCTTTTTAAGTTTCACACATGGAATACGGAGAAGGCTCGCACCAGATGATCCTAAAGCTCGATATGGAACATATTCTATCAGGCACTCGAATGTATGAAGGTTCTAAACCATTAAGCGATTTGAAAATTAGTAGTAATATTTATAGTCGATTATAAACGAGACAGGTAGATGGTGGCGTGATGATAAAACTGGTCTAATTAAACTGTCGAACATTTCTATTAGTGACAGTGACTAATCAGACAAGCCAACTGCACCCATGTAGAAGTCTATGCAAAGTCTCTATTGTGTGTGTTTTTTGAGTGTTTGAATACTCGAGTATTTGTTTGTTACTTCGGTATTTGGTTCTTAATTTAGTATTTGGAAGATTTATCGTTTTTCACGCTTTCCACTGGCCATGTAAGCTAAAGTCTAAGCGCCTACAACTGAACCCGATTTGGCCTGTGTGTTACTTTCAGTGCTGCTTTCTATGACTAAAAAAAGACAAGCTAGCCAACTAAAATAACTTCATAAAAAAAGAAAAATGAAAGCAACCAACACTTTCGCAATCTGTGGTAAACAAAAATGATCCAAACCTAATACGTTTGGTCCTATGTACATTTTTCTTCTGAATGTCACTGGATTCTCTTAGTTAGTAGGTGATGAAGGAGACAATGTATGAATTTTGCTATATAAAAGCTAACACTGCTGAGCACTGGCAACTGGCACTGACAGACTGGCAACCACACCAAAATACCCCAAAGAAACCAGCAAGTGTGGTATTTAAGTGGCTTTGGCAGTGATGAAAGTACAGAAGTAGATGTTGTTGAAAGTTGTTAAATAGTAGTAATAGTAGCCTTTTGCATGGTACCGGCTCAACCTAACTACTTGCTTTTTTTGGTTTGCCATTAGAAAAGCCTGGTACCTAGTACTGTTTAGTAGAGTCATTACGTCATCTGAACTCTGAGTAGCATTTTCCAAAGTCTTTTGTCTTGCTGCCATTAGCTTCTTCTGAACAAAATTTGCCTCCTTCTCATCACGGCAGTTTCATGTGTCATGCCAGCTACATTGAGGGAGTACTATATCTGCAGTAAAAAACGAAATAGCAGGTACCGAAAGCGAGTAGAGTCAAGTAGAGCGGAGTCGAAACTGGTACCACACGCAGTGGAAAAGTGATTTTTCAGTGCACAGGAGTGCTGGAGTACTGTTAGCATGGATGTTTGTGTTTTGTTCATATCTGTAATGAGCTCCCTCTCAATTCAGAGGATCCAGTGCCTTTCAGTGGAAAAATGTAGAACGTAGGACAAAATGTTTGGATCCTTTTCATTTACCACAAAGCACGACAGCAGCAGTTTTTCAACAATTACATTTATTTTGGTCATAGAGAAATCTGCTAAGACCGGGAAGTCCTAATACAGGCAATACGTTGAGGACAGGATGACGCACGACTTCACACGTCAATGAAAGGGCATCAAACGGATCATGGGAACACACAGCATGCAAGCAGCTGGGCTTCAGCCTGACTATTAATACACTGTTGCTATCTACTGGATATATTTTGCACTGCAGTAACAAGCATGCATAAAACTACAGTTAATTATAAACATACTTTTTGAGTATAAATGTTTGAGTACTTGTTCAGAAACACTGAGTATTCGAAGCCTATAAAATGCTATTTGGGCCAGTCCTAGGATGTGAATATCTCCTCATGATTTGACCTGCAGGAGTGTGAGAGTAAGATAGCACAAGAGATCGCCAGCCTGTCTAAAGAGGATGTGTCCAAAGAGGAGATGTCTGAGAATGAAGAAGAGGTGCTTAACATCCTCCTGGCTCAGGTGAGACTGAAGTGATGTGCTGCATTTATTGACAAAGGTTTCATTTCCTGTTTGAGAGGACACAGTTTAGCAGTTGGGTTTGGTTAGTCATTTAAGCCTGATTCGGTCTTGGGGTAATTTCCTCTTTCTCGCGGGCTACTCAGGCATTTTACTTTCATCTGGCCATGTCCGTGTTTTTCTCTCTGCTTTCCTGAAAATTGCAGACCGAATTACCTACAGTTCTTCACCAAACGCAGCAGTGGTTTGATAATTTTAGCCTCATCTCTGTGATTTTTCAGGCAGATCATATAAACGAGTTATGACCGCAGCTATTCATATTTAGCTGTACTTGGCCTCCTAGCATCCAAATCCATTTTTAACACTTTCCGAAACACAAAACGATGGATTCTTTGGAAGATTCTCTTAACTATTTACATGGTCTGGATGGTAGAACTTCGTCTCCATCCTCTACATTTGGAGAGCAGTAGCAGCAGGAGAAAGAATATAAAGTATGTCAGAAAAGCTCCCACAAGCTGAATAAATGATAATTATAATGGCAGCTGCAGGTATAAAGCAATACTTCATGCTCACATATGCACAACATCAACTTTTAGCTTTCTAGAAATTATGACAACGCTGACAACTATGAGACCGTATGTGGTGCAAACATCTGGATTTGAAGAAAATTCATCCCACTAGAAACTTGCTCGTCCTGCAGTAATGTAAATGCCCTAAAATTAAAACCCTAAAGCTCTTGCACTGAAATTACTAGAACAGTGCCATATTTAAGTGAGTTCTCTGTAGATAATGTGTTTGTAGCACACTCTGTACTACTCTGGGCTCAGGAAGGACACTGGAGGCAGGGTTGATCGTTGCAGCAGCTATTATTCTTTAATTTTCACACCAAACACAAACAAAGCAAACAAAACCAAAACCTATGCTGGCCAGTTATCAGTGGCTTCAGAACTAGACTTTTCAGTCCTTTTCTGCAAACTAAGCTTTTTAGCTCTTCAGTGTGTTCTGCTGCTGCTGCTGCTCATATCTCTCTGTCTCTCTGTTCCCTTTCTGCTCTTTTTAAAAGGCGCTCACACTAAATCAGCATCAGCTGGCTCTCATTAAGGGCAGCATGAGCACCTGAACTGAGAGGAAAAGAGAGCTTGTTGCTCCGCCTCGCCGTCACCACCCCTGTTCTGCATTTTGTCCGCCTGGGTTGAACATAAGGTGTAGTCTAGCTGCCAGCGGCAGAGCTCGGGACTCATGACCTGCCTTCATGCCTCTCATGGTTGTCGTGTTTGGTGATACTGTATTAATTCTCAAAAACACTGTATTGATTTTTAATTGATAGTTTACACACAAAGATTTGTGACAGACAGTGGTTCATTGTGCTAGATGGCAGTGGTATAATCTATCTTCAGCCATTAGACTCTTCCACTCCAACGTAAACAAGTAGTGTAAGGGCTCCCGCTAAAATTAGCATTAGCAAACCCAGCTGACTAGTAATGCTGCCACCGATGGCTGAATCCAAAAGATTTAGACTGGTGTTCTAACAAAGTCAGCCTGACTTCAAATCTGTCGTATAGTCTTTTGTATTGTCCAGCTTAATATTACTACTTACCCTTTTATAAGGAGATTTAGGCAGAACATCCTACTTATTCTTTTAATGCTAGTAACATTTTCTGATAAGGAGATTTAGTCGAGGCTGAAGTCAGCTTCTTATTCGCCAGCTTCTTGTTCAAATTTTTCCGTTCCACCTTAAATGGTGCAGTAGTTACATTCTGGCGCCTAAGGCATTATAATAGGAAGCTGACTTAAGCTATGTGTGATTTAGGCCATCAAAATGTCTATGGTTTTATGTGAGGAGCTACCTATAAACATGCACTGAGGTAGGACAATTTAACAAGGCAACACAATATGTCAGAACAAGGTTTCCGTAAAACAGTGAAGCCTCATTACACCATACTCTCCTGACAACACATCGCTGACATCACTGTTCCCAAGTTGTACAAGGAGGAATTTAGAATGCATAAATAGTAAAAAAAAAAAAAGAGAGAAAAAAAAGAAATGAGGTTCAGATTTGGTTAAATTTTTTAGGCTAAACTGTAATACAAACTAAACTGTAATACAAACTGAACTGTTTAAAGTGTTTTTGACACCCCCTACAGGAAAACGAGATATTGACAGAGCAAGAGGAGCTGATCTCCCTTGAGCAGGTCTTGCGCAGGCAAATTGCCACAGAGAAGGAAGAGATTGAACGGCTGCGTGCTGAGATTGCTGACATACAGAGGTAAGAGTTCAGAAAACACCTTTAAGCAGGGACAACACCACAGATATTTAAACCTCTTCCTCCACACCTTCCACCTGAAATCTGCTTTGTTGTTCTAAGCCGTTGTACAATACTTGATACTAAAGCAATGAGATATCAGAAGTGTTCGTTGTACGGACTGTGGAATGTAGTACTGATAGTTGGGGCCAGACATCAGCAGGAACATGAAGTTAACAGCCCAAAACCTTATTAAACAAGCCCTACGTGAGAACCCGGTTTGTTTGACTGAGACACTGACAACTATAATTTGTTCATGATGTGTGTGTATATATACAAGCATACAATTCAAAAACATTCAACTTGAATGATTATTCAAGTAGAAGCTGTTGTTTATTGGAAATTAATTAAAATTAAATTCATGTAGCGTTGGTCAGTTATGAATAATTTGTCAGTATGTCCCTATTGTGTACTGTTATTCTGATACATGATGTTGTTAAATGTATTCATAGTGGTATGGTAGGAGCCCCAGGATTAAGTAAACCAGGGCCCCTGACACTCGTAAATACAGCCTTGATTGTGACGCTTTTCACTTTTGAAAGCATCACAATCACATTATAGTGTTTGATTTGTGTGGTGGGAAAATGAGCAACAGGTGTTACCATTCAGCCAAATCTTGTTGTAAAAAGCATGCCACTGACTGTGGTATTTCCTCTGGAAAACTGATAACAGCAGCAAAACAATTATGCCGCACGTCTAACCAATATTTCTTTCATATGTACACAGCCGGCAGCAGGGCCGGAGTGAGACGGAGGAGTACTCGTCCGACAGTGAGAGCGAGAGTGAAGATGAGGAGGAGCTGCAGATGATCCTGGAGGATTTACAGAAACAGAACGAAGAGCTGGAGGTGAGGGGGGGGGGAGTCAGAGACGGAAAATAAGGGTGTACAAGGGGGGGGGAAGGAATGAGAGAGGTGGGTTTAGGTCAGAGCTCGGCAACATGCGGCTCTTTTACTGCCCTGTTGCAGCCCTAAAGCAGAATTAGATTTTTAGATAAAAATAAAAGAATCCTCCTTTGCAGTACAATAAAGCTCCGCTGATCATTCTAACACAGTTTTAACCATAAATGGTTTTAAATGCTGGACTTAATGTTTATCTGCTATCACCAGCCTTTCACCCTGAAGGTTGGCGCGCAGACTGCTTGTCACATAGCAATGCAGACAACAGTCTCTCCTAGCTAGTGGCTAACGAAATGGCAAAGAGAGAGAGTTAAGATGAACATCATTAATTTGGAGACAAATAGACTTATTCATGTTTATAAGCACTCTGGTTTTCTGATACATTTAATCTGCAACGAGAAACTGTCAAACACTAAAAAGATGCGACGCTTAGGTCACCTTCTTATTCGCCAGCTTCTTGTTAGCATTATCCTGTTCCACCTTAAATGGTGCGGCAGTTACATCCTGGCACTACGGGCACCATTTAAGGTGAAACGGGAAAATTCAAAGCTGGTGAACAAAAAGCTGACTTTAGCCTCGTAAAAAGTTGAATGAGAGACATTTTACAAGAAACAATTCTACTTTTGCGGAAAAGTTTCCAGCTGGAGATTTGAGAAAAGCGGCTACAGCTGAGCTAAAACTTAAAACAGAGCCAAGTTTGCACATACTGAAACATATTTACAGCCAAGATGGTAAAATGGATATAAAATGTTGTGGCTGCCAAGTTGGTTTGGTTTTTGTTGAAAGGACAAAATCCCTCTTTTAAACATTTGGGTTGCTGACTTCTGGTTTAGGGCCACAATGATGTGAGCATGAGGATGGATGGAACGTGGAAGAAGCTTTTATTTGTTTGTTTTTCTAGTTTTAGGTCATTCATTGTTAATGAACTGGGGCCTGTCTTACAAAGCATGTTCAACTCGGACAGTTTCACCTTCACAAAACCTACCAAATTTTGCTGCGGTTATTTTATGATGCCAGTTAACAGCTTTCTCTGTTAATTCAGGTTTACATACTCAAGCTATGTTGTTTATGACGAACCGCCAGTCGCATAAAACATGACTTAGAGTCCAGTGGCTTATTTTTCAAATAAGAATGAAGAAATCATACTACAACCCCATCACTACTGCTAACATGTTGGAAAAATAACATATTCTTTATATCCATGTAGCGTTATTTGTTTCCTATACTGGAAAACATTTTTTCCACATGATTGATGCCACATTAAAAAAAAACTAGGAGGGGTTCACCTCGATCAGAAGGCTCTCCCTGATTGTTCAGAAGCTCGTTGTTTAAGGCTAACTCCCAAACTTAAGATGCCCTGGAGCTACTGTGAGATAAAAAATCCAGGGTTACATTGAATTAAGCTTAAAGTTTAGCTGGCTCAGCATAAAGTCCTGCTTCGTAAGACAGGCCCCAGGTCTCAGGTGGCGTGTTGTTAGACACTGCAACATCAAACAATAGTGATAATTTGACCATAAAAAAACATTTTACTCTATGCTCCTTACCACGAATGTGGTGGATGAGCCAAGACATATTTAAGACTAATGTTTCTATCAGTCAACACAAACTTATATCCCACCAATTAGCAGTGGTAAAATCCCCACACTTGCCTCAGTGTTGAGTTGTTAAGCGAGTCTGTTTGAGATTACTTGTGTGATTTCTGTCACTGTATAACATACTGTCATCTAAAATCTAAAGACTAAAGCAAAATGCAGGCCACTACTGTTGAACAAGAGGCAAACTTAAGACACTAAACATTTCTCAGATAATTACATTTGGTGTACATAGTAGGTTGAAAATGTTTATAAATGTAATTTTTTTCATGGACTATCACTTTACAGTTAATGGTATCCTTGCACCCTAATTCAATTCAAGGTTATACCACAAAGTATTCAAAATTTCTACATAATTCAATGGATGAGATGTAAACTTACCGACTCTTCTTTCGATTTCTTTACATTGCCTACATGAATATAGATTTTTTTACTTACTAATCAAACACCACACCTGTCTTCTGAGTTTTTATATGAAATGTTGCTAATGGTAAAATAGTAGTAAATCTGGGGGGCGATTTGGGGACCATTTTTTTCTTGCAGCACCTGCCATGTACCTCCACACCATGAATGGATTTAAAAATACATTCTAGGCCAAAATCTTATTACAAAACTTTTGTTAAACAATGTCTCAGGCATCATGTTCATTACCGTTTCATGTAATAACTTGCTGTGATGTAGCTTTTAGAGGAATTAACTACCACTGCTACTACCACTACTACTACTACTGAAGCACTTGTGTTTGTCATTTCTCTTTGCAGAACAAGAACACCCACCTGAACCAGGCCATCCACGAGGAGCAGGAAGCCATCCTGGAACTCCGCGTTCAGCTCCGCCTACTTCAGAGCCAAAAGCTGCAGCAGGAGCTCACAGCCCCTCCCACAGCAGAACAGGCCCTGCCCATGCAGCCCAGCCCAGAGGAGCGATCCAGGGTTGATGAGCCAATCAAACGCAACGCTTCTGTGGCCATAGCAGTGCCAGGAGATGCCACAGTTGCTGCTTCTGCAGCGCCAGCCAATGGAAAGCCTGGAAAGGACAATTTAAAACCTTCACCTAGCAAAACATACGCGGTCAGTCAAAATCCACCACTCTAGATCAAACGCCCCAGTGGTTTTACACACTGGTGTGACATTAGGGGTGACGTTCAGCCCCTAGCATCACTCACAGGCCTCAGATAAGGTTCGCTGAAGGTGAACTGAATGTTGTTTCCACACTGGGACCACAGTTAGGTGGGTAAGATTGGGGAGTTGGCTTAAAGATAAATTTAAGAAGGCAAAGTAATTAAGTGAGGGGTCAATCAGCAGCTGGTGAGTAGGGGTGCCTTTTTTTTGTTTTTGTTTTTGGGACTGGGGTCATCATGCCCTGAATAATTTTATTCATTCTATATTTTTAATTTAATCCAATATAAGAAGTTTAGCCAAAAAGAAAGTTGCTTTACCAACAGATTTCACCCTTGCCCTAAAACTCTCCCTTAGTTTCGTGTCTCAAGACAACCAGGGAAATCATTTCCACCTGTCTTCAAATAATTTTGAATTAATTTAAAATAGCAGGTTATTTTTAAGAAAAAAGATATTGTTTGAATGGGATGAGAAATATATTGGTCTATTAATTTGTTTTTTTTTCTCTTGGGATCCAAAATGTCATCCTAGCTCTTTCTAGTGAACTGAAGGGGTGTGTGTGTGTGTGTGTGTGTGTGTGTGTGTGTGTGTGAGATGAAACATTGTGCCATATGTGAGTGTAACCATAAGCATAAGTTTTTCAATGAAGAAACTGTTAAGACAAAGAAGTTAAGATGCACCTATATTATATATTTACTGAAATAAATTACAGAGGATTGTTTGTATTAAGTATGCCATTTATTTGGTCATATACAGGACTGTGTAAAAGTCAGAAACCACCGTCATTTATTTAATTTCCAGTCAAAATGGCCATTAAGTACAGGTGCTTCATTTTTCAAGAGATACTTCTGAAAAGATTAGCTATAAGATAATCTACTTGCAAAAGGAAAGAGAAAGTTGAAGTGAAAAAAGAGGAAGTCATAAATTGATCAAAAGATTAAACCGCCAACCATGCAAGAGCTGGTAGACCACCAAAACCGTCACCATCAGATAAACAGCACTTAAAGCTTTCATCTTGGAGAGAGAGGAGAAAATCAAGCTCCACTCTTGCTTCAGATCTGAAAAAAATCCACTGTGCAAAGACAACTCAGCACTATGAATCTGAAAGGATGTGTAGCTGTCAAGAAGCCCTTACTGAGAAATGGAAATTTTGCAAGTCTCCCAAATGCAGAAGCATATAATGTTGTTCATGTTCAGTTAATAAACAGTTGACATCATGTTCTAGAACTGGTAACACTTTTTTTGGAGGGTTTTCATATGTAGCTTTGTTTAAGTTTAGTATTTCAGCTATAACAACTACACTAGCTATATTTTGAAGCACAAACGGAGTATTTTTGATGGATGATGGAAAGCTTTATGTTGCTAAATGGTGAAAAATGGTGTGAAGTTGTGCCACTGTGTGTTTATAAAGTCTTACGAAATGCATAGTAATGTTTTTTGTTTTTAAAATGAGTATACAACTCCAAATTGTTACCAATACTACATGTACCACATGACATTATCTAATTAATATGCAGGATGACTACAGCCCTGTTATGTCATATTAATTGTTTAATTATGAAGTTTTTTTTTCCTTAAATAAATATTACTTATTGTATTGCTTTATTATAGATTGCTTTGGAAGAAAAATCACCCAAAAACATCTTCTACTGGAACACTGAGAATATTGTCTTTCTCTCCAAATGTCACTTCTGCTTAGCCCTGTATGTCATGTTTTTTCCTTTTATCTTTGTGAGCACCCCCCCCCTTTATTGTTCTGAGGCTGTCAGTCGAGATACTGTATAAATCCACTCATGAATACTGCTGACTGTCAACTCCATTGTGTAGGAAAGTTCTTTTTAAAAGATCTTTTCTAATACGACTTATTGCAAAGACAAATCTACTCATTTTACAATTATTTTCATGCTGTTCATATGGCTTTTTGTAGCTCTTTGTCATTGCTAGCAGAATGTTGCTGTACAAAGTGATAAAGTGTCTGAAAATGAACTTTAGTATGAATACAGTGAATATTGTATTGAATACAGTGTAATGAATACAGAATGTATTGAATACTGTAATAAATACAGTGGGTACTGGTATCAGATGTAGTGTAGTAATTTGGATATGACATCCATTTCCCACATTTATTATATTTTACTTAATGTATACTGCTGTTATGGATGCTGATTGCATGATTTGTGAAGGCTAAGAAAAATGCATCAAACAGTGCCACAGTTTCCATACAGAAATCTGATATATGGCAGTATTTGGGTTCAAATATATGACATATTTAAGTACATATGGATTTCCTTTACCTAACTTATTTTTGTCACATATGGACATATATGTGACATATATGCCAACAACAGGCCATTTTCAAATATAGAGCATATATTTCAGCCATATATCAACATATATAAACATATAAACACAACTAAAAATATATGATAGAAAACATTCATATATGGAGGGCATATATTATATATACTAGCTACATATTATAGGGTTTTTACGCATCTTCTGTTTCTTCCACACGTCCTAATGAAGTGAACATTTATATACTAGCTACATAAATAAACTCTAAATACATACACATTATAATCTATGCAGTAAATGCATTAAAACATGAAATTAATGAAAATATTGTTCCCTGACACATTTAAAAAATATTTAACAGCAAATATATAACATAGTAACAATTATAACTGTACTTTTATGTATTCAACCATGTATCAAACATATATCTGTGGTCCATGTATTATGCATTTACACTATATGGACAAAAGTATTAGGAGCTTCACGAAATGGGTTTCCATGGCTGAGCAACTACACACAAACCTAAGATCAAAATGCACAATGCCAAACGTCGGATCGAGTGGTGTAAAGCACGCCGCCACTTGAGCAGTGGAAACGTATTTTGTGAAGTGATAAATCATACTCCTCTATCTGGCAGTCTGATGGACGAGTCTGGGTTTGGCAAATTCCAGGAGAAAGTTACCTGCCTGACTGCATTGTGCCAACTGTAAAGTTTGGTGGAGGTTGCTATGGGGTTGTTTTTCAGGGGTTGGCCTAGGACCCTTTATTTCGGTGAAGGGAAATCTTAACACTTCAGCAGACCAAGACATTTTGGACAATTTCACGCTACCAACTTTGTGGGAACAGTTTGGGGAAGGCCCTTTCTGTTCCAGCATGACTGAGCCCCAGTGCACAAAGCAAGGTCCATAAAGGCATGGCTGGGTGTGTTTAGTGTGGAAGAACTTGACTGGCCTGCACAGAGCACTGACCTCAACCCCTTCAGAAATCTTTGGCATGAATTAGAATGGAGATTGTGAGCCAGGCCCTCTTGTCCAACATCAGTGTCTGACCTCACAAATGCTCTTCTGGATGAATGAGCTAAAATTCCCACAGACACTCCAAAATCTGGTAGAAAGCTTCTCAGAAGAGTGGAAGCTGCTATAGCTGCAAAAGGGGGACAAACTCCATATTAATCCCTATGGATTTAGAACTGGATGTCAAAAAGCTCCTGTAGGTCTAATGTGTAGGTGTCCCAAAACGTTTGTCCATACAGTGTATGTTCAATATTTGATACTTATTTGTACACAACAAACATGCACATATATTTTGAAATATGCCTGACCCTTTATGATATTTGTCCATATATGCCCATATATCAGACTTCTGTATGGGTTTGCAATGTGAGTCACCATCATTATTCAGGTACATTGAGATTAAAGATAAATATATTCATTCAATATATACAGTCATAGGCCTACAGTTATTAACAGCTTTAAAAATGTAATACCCTATTATAACACTAGTATACTGCTTTTATTTAATGTTCTGAAAGTTAATACAGGTTACAGTTCTTTATCCATGAAGTGCTACCACTCAGGCCTACTGCTTGCCTCCTCTTCCTCTTTTTAGCGATTTTCAGCTCATAAACGAATCGGTTCTTTTAAACCGACCATTTTCAATGAATCTTTCGAACCGATTCAGAGCTAAATCGAACTTGCACTGTATATGTCATGTTATAGACTAACGACTTATAATAAAATTCGAGTAATACTTTTAATATGAGTAAGAATAGGAATAATAAGCCTGGAGTTTTGGAGTTTTTTTTCCTGTCACTGTTGTCCTTGGTTTGCTTATTAGCGGTCTGGACACCGGTTCTGTAAATTTCTGCTTTACATTTGTGACAATGACTATTTTAAACAGTGTTGTATAATAAAAAAATAAAACATATAAAATCTATAAATATTATAAACGAAAATGAATACTACTGAATCTGACATTCGATTCGTCGGAACGTACCGTTCGACCGAATCGGTTCGCTACGATGAATCTTTTCTCTAATTCTTTTGGATTTACGTAAAGAGCGACTCAAGCGTCACGTGACCTGAGTGACAGCGCTGTGGTGTCCTGTTGCTCCGGCTCGGTTTCCATTAGCTGTGAGCAGGAGATGGTCAGCGGAGCCCCGGGGAAGGGTTTGGGTTTTATTGAGGAAAAGGCCGCTGTAAGAATGGTGGCAGAGAGAGAGTAATACAGATCATACGGCTGGGAATAATGCTTTGTCGGTCGTAGGCGGTGTGAAATGGCCATTAGGGAGCTGAAAGTGTGTCTTCTGGGGGTAAGTGGAAAAAATAAAGTTCCCTCCTCAGAATCCTCAGCATTCCTCCGTCTGTCTGTCTGCGGTCAGGACGCTCAGAAATCCGGCGAGAGAAACCTGGACGAGCGTCGCGGGGTTTGTTTATCGTATCTGCTCGAGTTGTTCGACAATGGCAGCCTGGAAAGTGTAGAGATGCTAAAAGTGGCCTAGCAGCAGAAAAAAGTTCCCTTCCAGTGATGCGAGGGGTTGTTACTGTTAATGTGCTACACAAATGACTGGGTCCTGACTGTGGGAGCCTATTTTTAGGGATTCGTTTTTCACTCCTGTTGCAGTTTCATGGCTGTAATGCTGGTAGAAGCTGAACTTTGCGAGGAAAACTGATACTTCAGCACAAATTGTGAACCAAAAAAACACATTTCGGGAAAGTCCACAGCTAAATATAAAGTGTACCAGCTATGACGTCATCGTCCGGCTTGAACTAGACAACAAATGCTACCGAATTATCTTTTACACAAAGAAAAATATAGTAAATTTAAACCTTGTGTTATGGGTTTTCTCAGTTTTTTTGCTTAGTCTCGACAGTAAAGGTAACTATGTACTATGTACTATAAACTATATATATGTATATACATGTACATACACAAATTAGGGCTGGGCAATATGACATTACTTATTGTTACTGTGATAAAATACATCACAACATGTCACAAAATGCTTTACTGAGTACTTAAAATCACCTCCCAACTGCATGTTTGATTACAAATACAGCACAATTCGTACTGTTTAATGGGATTTAGTGCAGTGAAATGTAGAATGCAAGTACTTATATTCATAGTTTTTAATAGTAGATTTAAAATATCGCACTACTTTGTCTGTTCTAACTTATCAGATGATAGATTTGACACATAATGTATCATAAAAAACTTGCAGTATTACAATATTACATTTTGCCATATCGCCCACCTCTAGTTCAGATATACCAGATATGAGGATATTAAGGCTGTACAAGTATACAAATATACTCAAGTTATACAATGTACCCAAATGTCTCGTCCAAAAATGCTGGTGTGCGGATAATGTACAAAGAGTCCTGTGCTCATATGCAAGACAACTGAAGAAAAGAAGTTAGTGGAAAACATATAGCTACGTAAACATATGGTACTAATTAAGTAATGGCAAAAAACGTGCATAGAAATGGATCATAATACTGTGCTAATAATGATAATCCAGTGGCCAAAGGCCATTTCTGCTGTTCCATATTTGAAAATTGTGAGTTTAGAAGATCGAAATGTGTTGTTAGTATTTCTTAAATGTTTTGTTTGCTTATTACTGTCGACTGCTTATGTCTCTAATTTATTTTTATAATGTAGATAACCTTAAATGTAGTTTTGTATACATTATTTCAACAAGTCAAGACTAGTCAAGGTGCTTCTTTTCTGTGAGAATGCTATAAAAGATGGGCCTAAATGTTAGAGCTTCTTCTAAATGAACCATAAACAATAATAATTTCAGTATATTTTCTTGACCTGTTTTTCCTTGTAACTATAGGACACAGGAGTTGGGAAGTCCAGTATTGTCTGTAGATTCGTCCAGGACCACTTTGACCACAACATAAGTCCGACCATCGGGTAAGGGCAGGTTTTGTAAAATTTTCAGTACACGCATGTGTGCCGTTAGGGTCTAGAAGGGCTTTTGAACTCCGGAATTACCCGAACCTGGAGTCAGATAAGTTTGATTTAGGACTGGGAGAACTGACCTCATCCTGTCTTCACTGGTGCTGGAATGCATGGCCTCAGTTGTGTTCATGAGTCAACCCGCTGCAGCTGAGTAAGGCACATTTCTGTTGTTTCTTCTCAGACTTGTTTAGATAAGCACTTTTTTAAATTCACAGCTGCTCCCAAACAAGCCACTAAAATAAGCAAATATGAGTTTTGCAAGATGCAGCCATTCTTTTGTGTAGTCCCTCAGCAGCAGGGCACTGTCAGTGAGCTCCACAGCAAGGCTGTAGAGTCCTACACTGAAAAAGAATGAAATTTAATTCATTCAAATGTTTTAGCTTTCGTTTTGCTGACTTTTGGCTCTGACTATGTTGACAATGATTTATTCATAAACACTTTTGAATTAAGTATTACTATTTTCAGTGTACAGTTAGGGGTGGGGGCAAGGTGGCAAAAATACAATACTGTGCAAAAGTCTGAGACCACCCTTCATTTATTGACGACCATCAAGTAGAAGTTATTCATTTTTCAGGAGATATTTCTGAGGAGATTAGATTTAAGATAACTCACTTATATAAGGAAGAGGAAAGTAAAATAAAAGCATATTACGATAATTTATCTCAATTAATGGTAAATATCGTCATATTGCTTACGTCTATGTACAGTAGTTTGGTACAAACATGTATCTTGCCAGCTTTCACCTTGATTCCACCAGAGTTTAAGTGTGGCATTGTCACTGTAATGAACAATTTGAATATTAATGTTAGTCTCAACATCTTCAGCCATTGTTAAGTGTTTAAAGTCTTGTTAAAGCATTTAGTTGTCATCATGAGTGGAAAACACCAATTATTATTCCAGTCTGAATCGAAACAAAGTGAAAGCTTGCATGTTTTTCTCACCATAATAGTGAAACCTATGCATCACCGGTGATGCAGTACAGCTTTTGCATTTTTGAGAATTGATCTACATGGAGTAGCCACACTCGGTCTCTCTCTCTCTGTCTCTGGTTTCATACCAACTGAATGAGTAACCAGCGGTATGTAGTGTGTGGTTTAATATTGTTACTTTAGTCATGTGGAAGGTGCACTGTAGCGATGTCTGTAATGACTGCCACATTTGTTCCTTGGATATGCTGAAATAAAAGTGGAAAGTGCCAATTTTATATAAGCATATGCTCAAAATAAGATCAAAATCACTTGTACTAGTATTAAAGAAAGCGTATAACTGTGGTTTCCAGTCCTGGACCAGGAGACCCCAACTGTGGATTCTTATGGTTTCTCACCTTTAGCATACAGCTAATCTAGCTAATTCATCAGCTAATTACTAAGCCATTTATGAATTAGAGTTATGAATTGGAAATCCTGTTCACAGTGTTCACACCTGTCAAAACTAACGGAACTAATTTAATTAGTCCACGCCAAACAAGGTAGGTGTGAAAGCACCCTGAGTCAAATGTGTTAGAATAGGAAAAGCAGGGGGACTGTATTGAGAGACTCGGTTTACAGAGTTAGTGCTAAATTACAGTGAGGGGAAACGAGTATTCAGACCATTTAATAAACTTCCAGCACACATATCCACTTCAGATTTACACACTTAATATCTTTTAACTTTGCACTTATAAATAGTAACAGAAAAATATGTATTCATTATCATAAGCAAAGTTATGTTTAACATTTGAAAATGATATTTAAAAAAAAACATTCAGACACTGTATTAAAATATACGTATATGTAAAGGTTAAAAATAAAAATCAAGTTCTATGTATTAATTCTGCGAATATAAAACTACAAATATTCTCATGCAGATTGCTTTGGTATCATTATAAAAGAGGTTGGGAAGATTTTGCAAGTAGCAATCATGGAGAAGGTGAAGGAGCTTCCTAAAGTTCTCAGTGACATTATTAAACAACAGTCGAATGGAAAAAGCTACAGAGTCATAGCAAATACCTTAAACATCTCTGTATGATTGGTTCAATAATACTTAAGTGGAAAGTTCATGGAACCATAACTAATCATTCCTGGACAGGTGCACTGTGTAGGATTTCCCTCAGACTAATGATAAGAAAGCTGAGAGAGAAGCCAGCGGTCATTTGAAAAGAGTTGCAGGGTGACCAGAAAGCAGCAGGAACAACAGCTACACAGGGAACAACAAGCACTGAACTGCACCGCGTTCAAAACTCTTCTGCTAAAAAAGAAGCTCAGAGATGCTTAACACACAAACATTTAGACAAATCAGAACTCTTTTGGAACAATGTACGCTGGTCAGATAAAATGAAAATAGAACACTTTGGCAAGTTTGTTTGGAGAAAGAAGGGTTGCGCAGATGATCCCAAGAACACTATACCCACAGTGAAGCATGGAGGTGGTAGTATCTTGATAGGGATGGGCTCCTCTGCAAACAGCATTAGACCATCAAGAGAAACATGAATGAAATGATGTACCAGTACGTATTACAAGAGAATTTGATCTCCTCAGCCAAAAAAGGAGAGAAGATGACTTTTCAACAAGAGGATGGAGGATTTTGCAATTGCAAGTCCATCTGAGAGCTTTGCAATCTTTATGCTTATAAATATGTACTTTTTCGTTCATATTTATTTAAAGTACAAAGACAGAAGTCATTATGTGTGAAGTGGGTATATGCACTGGACGTTTATGAAATAACAAAAACGTATCTGACCTGAATGTAACCATTAGGACTAGATCTACACAATATATCGTTTGTTAATTGGTATTGCAATATTTCACCTTGCAATATGGATATCATCAAAGAATGTTTGCTTATATAACATAAAGGGTTTCATAATGTGTTAAAATATTGCAAGACATCACAACAGCATTGTGTAGCAGTATAATCGCAATCTGCTCTTTTGTACATATCTTGCAGTGCTTATTAGTACAGTTCAACAAGAAGGCCTTTATAGGAGCCTTGTTGGGAGTGATCTTATTTAAGATACATCAGAGGTGGTTCCAGTTACATGCTCAGAATCAAAAGCATCAGTCACAGGATTAGCCAAAAATGCACGAGACTCGGTTTCAGAATAATGCATTTATTTATCTTGTATGTGTGAGATATTTAGTGCACCAACAATGCATGTATAATTTGATTACTGCATGCAGAGGACTGTGATAGATCTGTGTGGAACTGCCCACTTTGTTGCAAATAAAGGGGAATACTAAAAGGCAGACTTGGGTAGTAATGGAATACATGTAACAGTGTTACGTAATCTGGATACAAACAAAAAGATAACAGCATTCTGTTGATCAGATTACAGATGCATTATAAAAACAGGGTGATTACCAGCAGGATTACATTAAAACCACTCATACACACAAAACACAATTTTGTCTTACTAAAAAATGTGGCATAATTTGACTCATCCTCTGTTAATTTTCACAAATTTCACAGCTGACATGAACTCACTCCACTAATCTCTGTTGTCTCTGTGATTAGCATCGCAACAATCATGATTCCTGAATGGTTGCGTCTCTACAGCTTGTAACAAACCTCAAAAGCACAAGTTTGTCTTCTGTTTCGTTATGTGTGTTGTGCATTTCCAAAAGCAACTCAATCTGAGGTGCAGATTTCAGAGCGATGTATGAAAACATTTTTTTCACATTGGAATAACACGGTGAAAATAATCTCTGACACCACAACTGTTTGATTTGATTACAGTTCTTTACGAAGTGATTCAGTGCACCATGAAATCTCAAATTGCATGAAGTCCATTCATGGTGGACTTTAAAATGTCTTAACTTGGTCTCTGATTGAAGTATCTTAAGAATTCAAAAAGCAACATATTTGTAAGCATGTATTCCATTCATGTAAAGTAAATTAAGGGGAATCTGTGCAGTAAAGCTAGCATTAACAGTGTAACAGTGCGTAGCAGAGAGAAATAACACAGGCAGTTTCTTAACAAACCTCTCTCTTTCTCTCTCTCTCTCAAACTGACTACTGGTGTGCGAGCCCGAACTCTTCTTAAACATGAACCCCATGTTTCCCAACGTATTTTTTAAGCTGTTTAATGGTAAATCAGTCCAGTCTAATTCTTTCTCAGTTCTTCTACTAAAAAGGCGATTATCGCCTTTTACACATTTCCATTGGGTTACTTGTCCATCATCAACAACATCATCATTTGTGTATTTCTCACTTCAGTTAATAGAATAGAGAACAATTTTATAGTGTTTAAGGAGGCACCATGTCAGAGATCCGCCCGCTGTCACCTCAACTAAAGCCTTTGTGTCACACTGTGTTCTTACCTGTTTTTATTTCTGTTTATTTTTGCTTATTTTTCAGTGCATCGTTTTTAACCAAGACTGTCCCCTGCGGCAATGAGCTTCACAAGTTCCTGATCTGGGACACGGCGGGGCAGGAGCGGGTAGGTATCTCATTTTTATTCACTCCACACACCTAGCAGTTGACGTTTTGTTGATTATATTACTTTTTCCCCCCGAGTACAGATGTGAATGTTAAGTATGTGCATGTTGTAACAACTGTCTGTCACAGCCTGAGCTGTTCTATTTAGAAGCAGTGTCGGAGCTACTGTATTCAAACATGTCTTGGCCTGATATAATTCTGATGACATTCTGCTGTTCAAACCGTGGTGGAAAACATTACTGTTCTCTGTCTCTCATAAAATGAAGTGACAAGACAACACATCATTAATATGAAATCATAGCAATCATTCAGACTAATCTGCAATATGGGCAAACATACTTGGCACAGTCAAGTTAATTTCACTTTCTAATTTTCTTTTTAAACCAGGTGTAAGCATCAAAAGCTGTTGGGTATATTCCCACAGCTCAGCTTCATTTAAATTTCGTAGAGCTGTGGGGATTTACCCAACAGAAGTTACTGAACCTAAAAAAGACTTCACTTTCTTATTTATATATATGATTAGAGACCATGTCCCTGTGTGTGGAGAGGTGAATGCGTGGCTGTGGTTTGTAGTGCTGGACGATGAATTGTCTATACTAGCATACTGTAATTAGTGGCATGCAACAGTATTGATTTTAGCAGTAGCACTGTTGATACTGAACAAGCATTATAATTATTATAACAGTCTATTCCATTAAGTAGTACCATCCCTGTTGCCAAGCAGTCTTGTTTTGGCTTTTAAAAATTCTATTTTTTGCTGTCCACTCATGATATCCATGACCTGACAGTTAACTACAGTGTATGTAATTTACAAAACAAAACCGTCCACTCTGAGCAACCCATGTCAGGTTTGTAAGACATTCTTCTAGTTTAGAGTAGCAGCACTCACAAAACATGGGTTTATTAACTTAATTAATGCTAAATTAAAACTCATACTGTGATAACATGATGTACAGTACCTCTCTATTTATTTAATTTCCAGTCAAAATGACCAATAAGTACAAGTTATTCATTTTTCAGTAAAAGTCTCTGAGGAGATTAGATATAATAAGATAATCTACTAGCATAACGAAGGGAAGAAAATGAGTAAATAAACAGGGGTTTTCATAAAAAATGATTCACAGATACAGAGAAAATGGGACTAACAATCGTGCATGAGCTGGTAGACCACCAAAACTGTCACCATCAGATAAACAGCACTTAAAACTTTCGTCTTTGAGAGAGAGGAGAAAGTCAAGCTCCACTCTTGCTTCAGATCTGAAAAAATCCACAGGTGTTTCTGTCCATCCTCCCACTATGAGAAGACAACTCAACACTATGAGTCTGAAAGGATGTGCAGCAAAAAATGCAGATCAAACCGAGAAGCTGCTGGTGTTCTCAGAACAATGGACTGACCACTCCAGAGTCCAGACCTCAACATCGCTGAATGTGTTTGAGATTACTTGGATCGTGAGACGCAGAAAATGCAACTAACGTCTAAGACTGAATTTTGGAAGTGTGGAAAAATATCCCTGCAGTTTTTTTGTAAAACTGAAAGCACATCTCCTGAAAAGAATGAAAGCTGTAATTAGGGCTGGACGATATGACAATATTTATTAATATTGTGAAAATTATGTCACAGTATGCTTTTCTGAGTATATTGTGAATATCATTAGTACTTATAGAACAGTATGTATGTTACACTACAAAAAGAGCATATTTAGGCCTGTTTAACTGGGTTTTGTTGCCTGCAGTTTGAGAAATGCTGAGTAAAAATCATCATTTTGCTAGTCACTTTTAAATGTGGTGCCACTGGTTCTTTTTTACAGATTAATAAATATTGTGACATATCATGTACAGTGAAAATTTCTTTAAATATTGTCATATTTTTGCAATATCCCCCATCACTAGCTATAATAAAGTCAAAGGTGGACACACTAAATATTCAAAGATGTAATATTATATTTAATTGTTAAAGCTTTTGTGTAATTTGTGTAATGAAGTTTTTTTTTTTGTTTTTTTTTTTTCAATTTTATTTTTTCCCATGCTAAAAAATAAATAACTTGTACTTAATGGCTATTTTGACTAGAAATTAAACAAATTAAATCATCGGGAAGGGTGCTAAATGGTCTCTGGCTCCTGCCTGGTACTATATACGAAAAATCTATGAATAAAAGTTGAATTAGTCCACTCTCCAGCTAAATATTACACAGTTCTTAGCGTGTTGTGTTATTAAATGCAAACAACACACAACATACTAGAGAATATCCTACTTTTATACATGTTCTAGTATATAAACATGGAAAGCATCAGGCTTGCAGCTAAGATAGATGTCTAAAGTGAGTGTTTTCACCTGCCCTGCACAGTTTCATGTTTTCTCTACCCCCAAGTCACATCATTAGTTAATGATGTTCTTGTGTGTTTGAGCAAGAAAACACAAAATTGTGCAGTGTAGGCGGGCCCACCGGACTGCAGTTGGTAAACATTGATCTAAATAGATGGGAATTACATCAGTAACCGCTGAGGCCAAGATTTATTCTGGGTTGGTCACTGTAGTGATTGGAAACAGCCATGTATTTATCTCCCTACAGACAGTGAGGGTCTCTAAAGCACATCTCTAACAATAAAAGTATGCAAATATGCTCTTCTAGGTTTGAATACAGCGGCTCAGCCAGAGCTTTTTTAATATATAAATCTGTGGCGTTCATTGTAAAATGAACATGAGGTTTGAATCCCTTAGCTAATGGCCCAGTAAGAGTAGTTATAACACGTGGTAGCTATTGCCCCATCTTACCATTGACAAAATACTCAGTTAGTTATAATAGTTTTTAAATGCTGACATTTGGTTTACATTCTGAATCTTCAAGTCTTCAGAATAGAGGTGAACATTTTGGCAAATGTGGAAGTTTCGATCAAAAGCTGACCATCATTAGTAGCTGATAATAGTTAACCAGCAAACCTAAAATCAAGAATGGGACCCATCAGAATATCAGTTATAAAACTGATAGTTCCAGTCCTGAAACCTGTTTGAGTCACATTCGAAACAGTAAAATACTTGATAGATGCACACTTATGAGCACACACACCAACTGAACTGTATTAATGCACTGAGATATTATAAGTGTTCCTTGTATTGACTGTGGAATGTAGTACTGACAGTTGGGGCCAGGCAGAAACATGTTTATGAAGTAAAGAGTCTGAAAACATATTAAACATGCCCTACATTATCACCTGGTTTTGTTTGAACCAAGGATATATCATGCATCATGTTTGAGGAACTATAATATGTACATGATTATATGACTAAAACTAAAAAGATGACAAAATGACTGGAATATATAATGATGGGCTGTAGTCTAAAGTTATATTTATCACTCACTGCCAGGAGGACAGGCACATGGCACAGTGCATTAATTGATTGATGAATTGTAAAACATTAATTGATAATTTCACAAATCACTGATAACCTTGCCTATTCAAAAAGGAATTGTTGTTTATCCGACATAAAATAAATTAATGTTTTTGGTCAAACAGTTGTTGCAATGCAACATTAATGCAATGTTAAGTGATATGAAGGGAATGGCCTTTTTGCTACAGAACAAGACAAATCATCGTAAAATATTTCCTATTTTGCTTACAAAAACAAAAGTGAAATCATTAGAAAATTTAGAATCCACCCTTTCGACTAGGGGTGGGAATCTCTAGGTACCTCACAATTCGATTCGATTACGATTCAAAGGGTTGTGATGTGATTATAAAATGATTATCTCGATGCATCTTTTTTTTTCTATATAGCATTTCTATTTCTATTTCTGTGAGCTCAAGTTTCGACTTCAAGTTTCAAGTTTTGTCATTTGCACAACAAGGACATTTATGCATTGAAATGCTTGTGGTGAGGCTCAGCTAATCACTCTACAGAAAGTAAATAAGTAAAAATAAAAATAAAAGAAAAGACAACTGAAATATATTAAATATACACAAAATATACACAGAATATAGAGACAATATACATTTTAAAGTAACTCTGTGTTATTGTTATTTAAAGTGACTTGGAACTTTTAAAGCAAAGTATTTGTAATGATCCATAATGAATTTACTTCCAATATCTTTTTTAATAAAACAAATGGAAGTGATGTGGCAAGTAAACTAGATGGCTCTCATTCAGTGCTCTTGTTTGGAGCATGAGAAGCTGCTGCCACAAAATACGCAGTTACGGTGAAATTAGATCCAGTGTCAGTGGATCTCCACGCAGCGCGTTACAGCTATTCAAACTGTTTTCTTTAGTGATTTTATAACTTCGGTTTTGGTCTCGTTGTAGAGAGTTGGGGAATCGCTGTGTCAGTAAGGTATCTTTGAGACGGGTCGTGTACAACATAGCGCGAAAGCCCTGTTTCGCAACGACTGAGAACCGGCGTGCAGACTGCAGGTCACATAGCAGCGATGCGTTATTCGCATTCATAAGCAGCACAGTTGGTTTCCTGGTACGTTAAACCTGCAACGAGAGACTGTCTCTCTCTAAAAAGTGGCGAAGCTGAAGTCGCTTCTCTTTCGAATTCTCCCGTTCCACCTTAAATGGTGCCGCATTTACATTCGGCGCCTCAGTTAGAATTTAAGGTGGAACGGGTAAATTCGAACAAGAAGCTGGAGAATAAGAAGCGACTTCAGCCTCGGAAAACAGTTGAATGTTGAGAGACATTTAACTGATCTACTTCTGAGGAAATGTTTTCTGGCGGAGATGGGAGGAAAGCAGCTATAGGCGAAGTTTAAAGCACAGCAAAGTAGATCTGCGTTTACGTTTATATTGTTTAGTCTATACTAGGACATTAACACATACTGAGACATACTGGACATTAAATGTTGTGGCTCCCAAGGTGGTTTGATTTTTGTTGAAAGGACAAAATGTCTCTTCTTATCATTTGTGCTGTGACTCCTGATCTAACCTGGCTTTAATGCAGAGGGAGCCGGTCGGATTTCTCGCTCATCCAGTTGTGTTTTTGTTATGTGCCGCCACAGACTGTCCGGGCTCTGCACTTCCGCACTTCCAAGTTCCGCCTCTTGCGTTCCGTCAACATTACGATATAAATTGAATATTTAGAAAATATTTAGAATATTTGATGTCTGTGCACTGCTGCAAGTCAGGATCGGATATCGGGTTGGATTTTGTAGAACTTTTTGGACCACAGAGAAGAAGGTCCAGCTCGATGGTTGGGTCTTTAATGCAAAAGTAATATTGTACTGATGAAGATATGATGACTGTAGTAGATCATTCACTTCCGAAGCACAACTGACGTTAGAAAATGTTCTTCTGCACATTGTGTGCAATTACACATTTCCATCAAAGAGGTCTCTAAACCCCAGAATTTCCATAGTGTAGCGTTGAATTCCACTTACAATTGCATTGGAAAGCTGGTGAAGTCTAGGAACAGGCTTAATCTGTGAGATTGTTGCTAAATGTCAGCCACTACACAATCATACTCGATTGAAGGCTGTGTCAAAGTTATGTGCCGGTGTCATCCTTGTGTTAGTGTGTCTTCATAAATTGCACCATATCTTAACAGAACTGGTGTATCATCACTATACCCATATACAGAGAGACCACTTAAACACACTAAGGCAGTGTCTGGCTGATTCACAGGCTTGTGTGGAAGTATGTGTGTGTGTATGTGTGTGTGTGAAAGGAAAATGCTGAGCCGGCGTGTTGTCTGCCCTGATGTTGTAAGTGTTAATGTCGTGATTGTGTCCTGTCCCCACTGGAAAAACGTTGCTCACTGTAATAAATTTGGGCAGTGCGGCTATCTTCCCCTTTGTGATGTATTTCCTGTTTTGACAACACATGAACTGAATGACTGAGTGAGAGGTGAAACATGCAGGACTTTGGTTTGGTTTTTCAGGGTTACCATTTTTGTCACCCAATATATTTATATAGAATGTTATCTCTTTTATAAGGAACTGATACTATTATATTAGTGTGTTGATACATACACGGATGAACAATTCAGAATACAAATGTGTAATAAATACTACAAAATAATGCAATAAATTAAGGGCTCGGTTATTATGTAAAGCATGAACACAGTAAGTTATTAACACCACTATTTTTTTAATCAGTTATCGCATTTTCCTCGCTTGACCCTTTATCCCTTGTAGTAGTCCAGGTTGAAGCCCAGCTGCTCACACGCTGTATGTTGCTATGATGGAATCTGAGGTTGTAGCCCTTCCTTATTCAAATACAGCTTTTAAAGTGACCCCCTTAATACCTTCGGCAAACTACACTGGTCAGTTCTTGCAGAGACCTATGGATAAATCAACAAGCAGCGAAGTAACAGAAGCAACAGCAATGTGGAAAGCTCCAGTTCCCTTCGAGAGCCTCCACTGTAACAATAATCCATGAGTATGAACGAGAGCGAAAGGCTGTAGTCACTTTCGTTATGTGTGATATGATATATACATTTATTGTTTGAAACATGCAGCCACTGTTGCTCTCACTGGACATTGATGATGAGAATTAAAAACTGCATTGAGTGCATATACATGCACTCAATAATCCGATCATAATCAGATTTCTGCAGGAATCCGATTATTCAAATGGCCATGTAAACACCATACTCGGATCTAGAAGTCCGATTAAGAAATCCAATAAAAAGAGCTGGATTTTAGCTCAGTAATCAGATTTCTCAGTGCATGTAAACTCATACTCCGATTTCTATCGGATTTCTCAGTCTGCGTAAGAACAGACGGTGGTTGTGAAATAAAGGATTTAAATATTCTTCATCTTCTAGATGATGTAAGTTCATATTTTAAGGTAATGTGTAAAATGTAAGATGTTTAAAAAAAGCTGCGGCATGAAGCTCAAGTTTCACATTACGTTTACGTCACGTCTTCTTCTGCGAGTCTATTGGCTGGTTGCAAAGCAGAAATCCGATTATTGCCTGACTCGTGTAGACCCGGAGTTTCCCGTTATCTGATTACTCAAGTGCATGTAAACATGTTGATTGGATTACTGACAAAATCTGATTTTCTGCAGTTAGCGGATTATTGAGTGCATGTAAACACACTCATTGACTCTATTGAAATCACATGATTTTCATTTTGAGGTTCATAGGAATAAATACATGCTTATTTTTCCCCTCATATACAGTCATATGCAAACGTTCGTTGATGAAAACACATTAACACATCCTCTTCACTAAACAAACTTAAATATGTAATTTTTCTATAAATTTTAGTAATGTTTTGAAAAACACATAAAATATAGAATGTGCCATACCTTTTGTCAACAATTTGTTTTTTTTTCCCCAGTGTGTTAAATTCAGCAACAACATCAAACATTGTTCTCTTTACAAGATTTGTCAACTTATTTTCACTAATTTTCACAAAAAAAAACAAAAAAAAAACAGATCATGCAATTTTACCAGGGGTGCCCAAACTTTTGCATATCACTGTATCTATAACAAAATGCACTGCGTTTAAATAGAAAAAAATATTTTGGGTCAAACTTTATAGAATCAGATTATAATGTGATTAATCGCAATGAACTTAAAAAAGCTCTACAATAAATACAAAGACAGAGTCACAAAGGGTATTACAAATCTACATTATCCAGTATATTTATCCAAATGTACAGGCTTTATACAACAGTATAGATTAGCTTACTCTGTGGATCATGTACTATATTATTAAATAATGTATTGTTCCTTCCCTCCAGTTTCACTCATTGGCCCCCATGTACTACAGAGGATCTGCTGCCGCTGTCATTGTTTATGATATAACCAAACTGGTAAGTTTCTCTGCAATACATTGCGCATAGAGACTAGAAGACTACAGCTCTGAACAAAATGGCTATTGTTTTATTAGCAGTGATTACTTGCCATCTATGGGCAGTAGACATTATCAGTTTGTAGTAGATAAGCTGTTAGAGTAACTTGTACAGCAGAGGTCCTTGCCATGTATTTGATACAATAGCATTGCACATATATTTGTTATTGATGTTTTCTTTTTGCCCTGTGATGGACTGGCGACCTGCCCAGGGTGTTTCCTGCCTTCCTCCCAATAACTGCTGGGATGGGCTCCAGCTCCCCCCACAAGGATAAGCAGCTTAGATCATTTGTGTGTGTTTTCTTTTCTTGATGGATATGCTAGGCCGGGTTTGAATTGAAGAGGGGCGGAGGGGTCCCAGGTGTCCTATAAGAGTAAAGGTATCCCCCATAATGCCGGCCTTACACCAAACGACTTTTCAAGCGATTTCACTGTCGCAGACAAATATCCATGTTGGGATAAAATCATGAGAGTCTTGTTAGAGTTGCGTCGCGCTTGCGTCATCTCGATCGTTTGGTGTAAGGTGGTCAAGATGGTCGTCTTAAGTCAGTCTTTTTCTCGTCCTGACGCTGTGACAAAATCAACCGTGTTGGCTCATGCAAATAGTATCGTGCCAGGGGCGTGTGTGAGTGTTTGAGAGAGAGAGAGAGAGAAAATGCAGGCATTATTGAAGAATCATCAATGTTTTTTTCTGTTTCAGTTGTTTCTTATTTTGTTTGTTTCTTATGGTTTAGTTCATGACACCCAATCAACAATGCTGAATCGCTGCATGTTGTGTTGATGTGTAAATCTTTATATCAAATAAAAAAAGTATCTGCACATTGTACAGGTTAATTAAAATTCTGGGTAATGATCTGCCAGAGTGTACAGTTCTATAGTGAACTAATCTGAGCACCAGATCTTTACACACCCAGCCAACATATCTTCCCATCTGTGCCACTATAGAGTGGAAGGAAAAGTGTTTATCTGCTTCTGAATTTCCACCAGGTGCATGATGGTGAATAATCTCAAAAATCTAGTTGCAGTCTTGTAAATAGTGACACTGCAAGATTACTATTCTTTGCAAAATCATAGTCTGTGACTGAAAAAGGCGACACTGTCTGTAGATGTGAGAGGGTGTCAGACTTTGGTCTTTCAAAAGTCTTTTCAAAGTCTTCTAGTGTATGGTTAGCATAAGCGAGACAAAATTGATCCTTGACAAAATAAATGACTTCACAAGGTGACTGTGTCTTTTTTTATCGTTGTAATCATACAGTATCGTGCATGGAGACACACTTAAAACTGAAGAACATTACAGCCAGTTTCCAGCCATTTTTTAATTATATTTTTATTTGAGTAACTGAGAAAAGGTGGGCTATTAGACGTACTTGCCACACCACTTCTTGTAAGCTTTTAAGTGTAAAAATGTTATGTTTGAAAACTTTAAAGTAAAAACCTTGTTACAAAATAAGGCAACTGTAAAAGTACAGCACTCACTGAAAAACGTTTGTCCATAAGTTCTTACTTCCTCGAATGTCAGGCAGCAAAACCAATAACTAATATTTTGAATTGCCTTTACGAAAGAGGGACCAGGGTATTGCATCATAAAGACGACCCCAAGTGACCTTCATGGTGCAATGCCAAGGGACAGTAGCCCTTTCACAAATTTTGTGAAAAATTTATTTTTTGAGTCAAGGCTACAGTGTTTTACCATGTCAGGTGGTCTGACCTATGAAATGTAGTTATTATAATAATATTTATTTATTTGAAAAAAGTGTATGCATGAGCTCAAGTTCAAGGACGAAAGTTTCTTCAGGTATCTAAGTTGATGTCTGTTGATTGGCAGGATGTTTGCAAAAATAAAAAATAAAAAGAGGAAGGGAAAAAACCTGAAAGTCATCTGTAGTTCATTGTACATACAGTATAATTCCTTACATGTAATGTATATTAATAAATAATATGTTAAAATATATTTTGTAAAATATATCATTCATATTCTGCGGCTATGTATTATTTATTAAATATTATATTTACAGTCTTGAGATCTTACTTGAGTGCTATAACACCACCATACAATACAAAAAGCAACAACGCGAAAGGAAATGAAGAGCTCTTTTGTAGATGGACTTCATCATCCTGTGATTGTGTCGTCTGCCCCTTCTACCTGCAGGACTCTTTCCAGACCCTGAAAAAGTGGGTGAAGGAGCTGAAGGAGCATGGTCCAGAGGATATCGTGGTGGCAATAGCAGGAAATAAGAATGACCTCGGTGATATACGGTTAGCCTCTCTTGTCTGTACCTGCCTGAGGACAGTTAGGAATCTAGAGTTATTGTTGTTTTGCTATACTATTGAATGTAAATAGTAAAATAATAAGGACATTGTAAGCTATACTGTTTCATAGTTAGTAATGAATTGCTTTTTGATTTGATTGATATGCAGTGTGTATCAGCAGGTTCAAGTTTGCACTTCTGACTTTTTTTTCCATTTGTTTCAATGTCAAAAACATTGCAAAAAATGTGAAGGCTGATTTTTTCTTTCTGCAAAACAAGACAACAATAACTTTTCACCAAATTCAGATACTGAAAAATATAACCCTTTGGTTAACGCATTAAGGCAGACATGAAAACATGTTTTGCCATTGAATGTGTTCTCTGTTAATCAAGTGATTTCTCAGCTGTTTTTGCTTTTACTTGATATTTAAAGAACGTGATTTTAACAAAGCCAAAAATCTATAGATTTAATTTAGTTTATCTCACAAACTACTTTTTGGAACAAATAAACACATGGATAGGAATATAAGTCACACATCAGTCATGTATTATCACTATCATTGCTTACTCATCACAGCACATCCACTAATAAAGGAAGTCTTGTGACTGACTCTGAATTAGTACTTTTATAAGTATAAGTTAGACTGATTTACAAAGGGAATTTATCATGTTAAAAGCTATTCTAGAAGGGCTGAGGGATTGTCAATTGTATTGGTAGGTCAGTCCTTAGTCCAGTGGGATTTCTGTGATTTCTGAGTTGTACGTGTGTCTTCTGATTTTGTTCTGGATTATGTATTTACAGGGAAGTCCCCACAAAAGAGGCAAAGGAGTTTGCTGAGTCAATTGCAGCGATATTCATCGAAACCAGTGCTAGAAATGCCGTCAACGTTGAGGAACTCTTTCAAAAAATCAGTAAGTATTACTCAAATCTCATAGGAGATGTCCTGAACTCTTGTTAGGGTACTGATGTACGATAGCTTATTGCAAACCTTAATTATTGGCATTTGTCTGCTGATAGATGTCAGAGTGTAATGTGCATTTGTATGAAAGGGGAACTCCACCCATTTTAGTTTAATTTTCACAGTTTCTACATAATTAAATGGACAAAATTGTAAACAAAGTTATTTAGAGTGGTTCGGTGTGAAATCCTCTAATAAAGAGAAACTTATCGGGTCAGAAGTGTTCACGGTGGTGATGATAGAAACTAGACATCCTAAAACGTTTTGTTCATCCGTTTATTTTAATCCTTTCATGGTGGAGGGGTATATGCAGGGTGTTATAAGGCAAAATAGTCCCCAAAGAAAACTTATTTTTTCAGATGTTCCACTATTTCCACTATCAACATTACCTATAAAAACTCTAAAGATGTGTTCAGGTTCACAGGTGGTTTTGGATAATAAATAAAATGGCTATATTTGTGATATCGACATCATATACCTGTTCATATCACCACCACTGTAAGGAAATCTGAGTTTGTAACTTTCTCTACAATTAATTATTTTACATCAAACCACCCTGAATGACTTCATTTACATAGCAATGACAGAATTATGTAAAAATTTTGAAATATCGGTGGAATTCCCCTTTAAAGCCAATCTTTGTTCTACAGGTCGGCAGATCCCTCCATTGGAGAACGCAGAAGTGGACAGCAACGAGTCATTCAAGATCACACGCCCGCCACCTGCATCATCTAGACGGTGCTGTTAGAGATGTGGGACCTATTACCGCTTTGTCATTGCCAGATGTTTGAGTCAGCTTCATAACCCTCATAAAATATAACATGACATTAACCCGACTTCAGCGTTAACGTACAAAAATCAAAAAAGTGAAGAGATTAGTTGGAGCACACAAGTACAGTAGTACTACATTCAGTATAGTTTAAAGAACTGAAGTACATGACAAATGAAGCAGATGAAACAGTATTTCCTTTGTTCAGTGCAGAACAGTGGAACAGAGTTAGCTGGCTAACTCTGTAAGACAGCTCAGAGGAATAGAAGCATGAGTTCTAAAGCAGGGGTGTCAAACTCCAGGTGCTGAAGCAGAGGTATTAAACAAATTTTGGGGCCCAAATGCAGTCTGTGGGTCCCATTTCCAATCGCTCGTTCAAAACGTTCAAATATATTTTGAGAGTATAGAGTATGGCCAAATTATACCCTCTACGTTCAAAGCTAGTGAAGGTACAGGCAACAAGGTTTTTATCACAAGAAGGGGGGGACTGAACAGAGATTGCTTCCAATTTTTTTGGGATGCCAATTATTTTGCCAATATTTTTTTTAGTTATGACACTAATTACTTACAAATATAAAATTTCTATACCAAAGCTAATTTTTTCATCAGGCCTCTTGAGGGCTGCCTCCATCTAGGGGTCCTGAGTAGTAAGTTCCACAAAAGTCCTTATAGCTAAATCCTCCATGCTTGTAGTTATTTGTCTGCATGTTCATGTCCAGTGAGTATTCAAGTGTGGCCCATTTCTCAAATATGCAAAAAAAACACTAAACACTCACTAAAGGCACACTAAATGCACCCTTTGCCAATCCTCTGTGGGACATCCGTAAGTAGATGTCCCACAAAAATACAATATATATCTGCACACTTGCAGTCTTAATGAATGAATGCACGTTTTTGCTACATTTGGAATTATGTCACACAAGTGTGTTTTTTTTTCCCTGCCTAATTTAGTTGCGGCCAGTTCTACCAGCCAATAAGCCCCCCCCCTTTCACACAATGCTACCAAGCTGGGAGGGTGAATGCTAGCATTTATTCTCCTGTTCAAAGTTCACTCGGTTCTTCAAACAGCCGCTAACATAGTGTGATCGAACAGGCTTGGAGGAGAACGCTAACTGCCAGTTCTGTTACATCAGCTAACAGATGGCTGCTATCTGGTTAAATGCTGAAAGACCTATAAACCTGAATCTTATAGCAAAGCCAATGTTTCAAAAACATACTTTAAAGCTTTCTAAAGAAGAAATTTCTTCTTAAAACCCGCTCATGCTGTTTTCACAAAGATTCTGAAACTCACCAGTGTTTTCTTATTTGGGATTTGTTCTTAGGTAAGAACAGAATCTACGCACGACTCAAGAGCACAAAGGTGCCAACAATTGTGCGGTTTAAGAACACGTCAGGAATCTGACGTAGATTTTTTCTTAGGACTCTTCTCAAGAACAAATTTAAGAAAAAACTAGATATTGGTGAACGAGGCCCAGTGTTCTGGCTACTACACATGCACATATCTCCAAAACAAAGGGGCTTTTCCCACTAATGCCTTATAAGTATTGGCTCCTTTATTGAAGGGTGGGACTTAATACGTTGCCATGTTTTATAAGATATCCTATTTATATTTCAACTAGTGAGCTGTTTCTTCCTCTGAGATTAGGTTTGTTTGACTTAACGTAATGCAGATCAATCGTTGCCTGGCTCGGTAGTTTTTGCATGAGTTATTTTTTGTCCAATTTGCATCGCCGCCACTGGCGTGTCCTAACGATATTTGTCATAATAATCTCACGGGAGTGAAGCAGCTGCAGTTTTCAGAGCCTAGTCCCCATTGTCTAGATGCTTCGCCCATAACCATGCAGATACAAACGGTGGTGAACACAGCACATAGCCTGTTAAAATGTGTAGTGCTTGTGGTTATTAATTTTATATGTGAAATTCAATTTTAAATTCTTCAAGGATATGTTTTATCTTATATCTGAGCGCAACAAGAGCTGCTACCTTTTGTGGGGTGCTGCCAGTTAAACCAGTGCCAGTTTAGGGGGAGCCTGGCCACCGTCTGTTTCTCCAGTTATATCAAAAAGATGACTAAAAACCAGTAGACAGTGTCCACGAGCGAGTCTCAGTGAATGAGGGTGAGTAGGAATAGCTAGAAACGAAAGTCAAACTTGTTTCTCACCATTTCCTTCTTTTCATGTTATTAAGTAGAAGGATACATTCCATTACAAAATCAAAGACAACTTAGCTGTATCTTTCTGTTTTTCTACAGCAAACAGGTTTTTGTTAGTAGAATGCTCATTGGCTGGAGAGCCGATCAGCTCATTGGCAGTTTGCACTCGCTGATGTCATGAACATACAAAAGCACTCAAAAAAATAACAGCAGTGTTGAAATATTATGGGCTGTTCAGTTTTCAGAAAATTCAAACAAAGCTCCATAGGAGCCCATTCATTTTGGACTTGCTTGGGAGTGTTCTCTAGCATTTTAATTGCTCTCTTCTCGACCCAACTACAACTGGCTACTCTCACTGACCACCAAGGTGTGGCACACTTCATTTCAAGCAATCCAATGTCTCTGCTTTCACTATTCCCCGAGCTGCGATGTCCTTGAATAAAAGGGCCACAGTACTGCAGAATTTAGCATGGACCTTGATTTAATATGCCTGATTCTATTGCTAGTTTCCAAACTATTCATGAATTCCATTGAGTGTTAGTAATAAACATTAAATTCTACAGTTGTGGCTCTCCAGGACCTGATTTTGACACCCCTGCTGGTCAAGTATTGACTATCTCTGATCAAAAGTCCTGGTCTAGTTTCAGCTCTGTTCCTTAAAACGAGGACCTGCCCAAGATGGCACGTTTTTTTATTTGGTAAATGAAAAGTAATGTGCCATATATTAATGCAGTTTTTTGTCTGTTTAGACTGGCTATAGCCACAGTATTTTGAACAGGTACTCATTTACCTCAACTCAGCTACAGTATCCACTCTTATAGAATGTAAGCATCATGCCTAATTTGTCAAATGTAAGAGGCCAAGTAGATTTTAAATATCACTGTAAGATTCAATGTTAGAGCCACTTGATTAAAAGAAAAATCCAGCATTTTTCAACCTATATCACTATCTGCCTGCATTTTAGTATAAATCAAAGCACAACTATATGAGATATTTATCTGTGGTAATCAACTAGTAGTCTCACAGGGCCAGACATGTCTCGGAGCAACTTGTTAAACCTTTTGTGCTGGATTCCAGCAACATATGCTGCAACCAAGGGTACACCTCCTCTAAAACCTGCCCCCAAACCCCTCTAGTCTGTGCTCTTTTAACGTCTGGAGTACAGTCACTAACACAAGCAAGACAAACTAGCTAGAGAAATGCTATCACTAGCTCGCAGCAATCAACATGCTTGATTGGAGTTTTTTGGGGAACTCAGCCAAGCTAATTCACATTACATCCATGGGCTAACAACAGGATTCATTAGACAATGTTGACGAGCACATCTTCGCCCCTTACGTTGAGTTCTGCCTTTAAGAGGCGTTGGATTGGTTTAGTAACTTCTCCTTCAGATTGTTCCCACCCTAATACTGGCTTCAAGTTCTCCTTTGAAATTCTTACTTACATCTTCAGGGGGTCTTGAGTATGATTTGATATGTGTTCAAGTGGTTTTGGTCAGAAACAAGACGGATGTGCTGTGAATAATGGCTCTTAAACCTTTATTTTTATGTCATCAAAGAGTGTGTTTATTTTTGCGCTACTGCAACGAAACAAAGAACAGAGGATTTGTGTTACATGAGTGTTTTGTCCAGTTAGAATCATCACATCACTAATGCTAATATCCCTTTTTACAAGAATAGATGAGAGCACGTTAACTAAAAAGATTTTAGCCTGCAGTGCTCATGTGTTATAACACAAGTATCAGTGGCCGCCATAGCTTTTTAAATTAAACTCGGAAAGTTATGGCTTAAATTTAGATTACTACCATACCATATTATACCATATTTCCCACACGACTTGAAGGCTGCATAAATCTAGGTTCCCACCCATATTTAGCCCAAAATTTCTCCCCAGATCACATCTAGCCCTGTGACTCTTCAATAGCAACTATATGCAGTAGATGTGGCAGATAGAGATTAGATTGGAAAACAAAGATATTTCCTATTTCCAGCAATGTTAATTAACTTGCCATTTGATAATATGTAAGTATTGTTCAGTGCTCTGTCAGAAGTAGATGATGGATTGATGACATTTCCTGCTAGGAGTCCAATGCTCAATCACCTTTTGTGCATTATTTCACTTTTTGTGCACTCTCTACATTTGCCACACTTATATTAATATAATAATCGCTCTTGTTTTAGCGTCTTAGAACCTGCCTCCAAGTTTTGGTATCTGTTGGTGTGTGTTGAGCTTGGACATGTCCATGGCCTTTTGCGTGTAACGCACATGTATGATATGTAATATAGTTTTGTCAGATGTCAAGATGTTTGCATGATTGAAAAGCTTTCATTCAGCTGCCATTGTACAAGTTTACACAATGTGCCATTCAACTCCCATAGGCTATTCTAAACATTGCCACTAATGTAGGATTTAGGACAGGTATATCCAAAATATTTTGAATTATTACTAATCACTTAATTGTCTTTAAAAATGTGGTACTGTAACAGATGAATATGCTAGTATGTAGAGTAGTTAGTGTTGTACTTTGAATGTGCCTTATTAGAAAAGTGCCTTAACACAAAGTATTTACAAGTGTTGTAAAAGTTCATTTGGCTTTTACAGTGTGCGTGTAGACGTGTTAGCGTTCAGGGGCATTGACGTTAATATCAAGCAGTATTGAAAACTAAGCAGTATTCCTTTATAGACTAGATAGATTATCGATTGCGCTAAATTTGTAGATTTGTTTTAGTGTTACCTCCACGAGCTGAATGTGGCTATTTATTGATTGTCTCATCCAAGAGTTCATCCAAGTCCGTAGCACTTTGTTTGGGAAAGAACACCATTACAGAACGACCAACAGGGGGCAGTGCAAGCTTGTGCCTTAAACCTAAATACAGCATGTTGTGTCACTGCGTATGTGTTTCAGTGAGTATTAAGTCTTTGGCCTCTCTTAATGTGGCCTTCAGTGTATTGTTGTTGTCA